GGCGTCCCTGCTCAGCTGTCACTTCTCACAATGAACAGCGCCTCATCCGAACAGATCAGCAGATATCGACCAGGGACTGTCAATTCTGAACGCTACAAGACGATGCTGACTAAGCTGAAAGCCCGTATTTCCCGAGTCAGGCCAGAGAAGCAGACAACCTTTCGCTTGCAACACGATAACGCTAGACCCCGTAACAGTTTGGCAACCACCGCGCACACTGCAAAGTTTGGCTGGAATGTCCTACCACATCCACCTTATAGCCCCGATTTAGCACCTTCAGACTTCCATCTCTTTGGGCTTATGAAAGACGGACTACATGGGCAACATTTTCCAGACAACGATGCTGCAGCTGTAAGAAAGTGGCTAGTCTCTGCTGGCGCAGACTTTTATGGGCGTGGCATACAGGCTCTTGTTCATCGATGGCAAAAGTGCATAACAAATGGTGGTGATTATGTGGAAGAATAGCTGTAAGTAGCTGAAATCTTGCTCTATTTAACTGCATTATTATGATTTCTGTATCTGCTGTAGTTTTCTTTAAAAAAAAAAATAGGAGGCATTATATACGGAACGCCCTTAGTATATTCTAATTTTTATATTTTTGGACAGCAGAAGAGAAGACATAAGGTTCTGGACTGAATGGTAGCAAGCATTACCCAAGTTCAATCTCCTATTAATTTCCTCCTGAATCAGGTTTCGATCTGTTATCACTGTTCCCAAATATCTGAACTGTGCCACATTTTCAAAACATCTGTTTTGTATCTTTATGTCATGAATTTGCCCTGCATTTTGGTGACGAGACAGCATCATATACTTAGTTTTCTGTGTTTACTTCTAGACCAACCGCTTTACTTGAGTCAATTAAAGTTTATGTGTTTTTTATACAAGTATTAATGTTCAAATCTAATGGGATATGCATATACACTTACCATAATACTGTCTTGGTTTTAGGACAATATCTTGAGACAGTCAGTGAAACTAACTCATATTTCTATTTAAAGAATAATACAAGAATATCAGTCATCAGCATTTTCTGTAGTTATGGTGGCGGAAAGGAAACATAGGAATTTTACTCCTGGAAAAATATATGAAATTTTTCCTTTCTAAATGTTATGAAGGCAGTGATTGTAAAGAATCAGTTCACTTGTTGTGAACCAAATTTCACTGCAGATACTGAAACTGTAAGACCCTTAACAGAAATTCACTTATAACTGACATGCAGCAGTGAGATAAGAGGTAAAGTAACTGGCCATGGAAGCCCATAGGGTTGTCAGATGTCAAGGCTCCCACATTTTGTGGACAACCGGCTCACACATGGCTGTGAGGATGTCAGCCTTATGTGCCTGGTGGCCACCCTTCAACCCCAGGAAGATTCCTGGTGCTCATTTCTGTTAAGAGGTTAGGGCCATAGTGTGGCTGGAAGAACTAGGTTAATTGAAAGATCCAGTGGTGACCCAAACAGGATTTGAACACGCAACCTTCCAGCTTGTAGCTTAGTGCCTCAACGAACTATGCTACCACATGTCCTCAAGAAGCAGTAAGAAAACATACAGAACAAAGATTTAAGACAGGAATACTAACATGATTATTACCTGCAGTCTCATCTCGAATGACGACATCGGAAACTTCAAAAAGTTTCATTGGCAGTGGCATTTTTTTGTTTGCTGCAAGTGTTTTGAGCAGTCCAGGTACAAGAGTGGTTCTTGCTACTTGAAATTCTAATGTTTTGGGGTTTGAGATGTGGACAGCAGGAATATCATTTATGTTCCTCCCAAGTTTTGTAGCTATGTCATCTCTTGAGCACTGGGCAAATGAAAACATAAATACAGTGGTTCAGGTAAACACAATGCATATCTGAACATTAGCTCAGATTACCACTTACCATTTGTGTGCTAGCTAGTATCCATCTAAAATCTGAGACCAGGCCGGTTTTTAACCAAACACTAACATAATTCCATGTTATGGTATACTGAGTAGCACCTCTGCACTGGTTTCAGGTCTCTAGTCACAGAGCTCATGAATCCTATGGCAATCTGCTGTTTTGCTTAATTCTAAGGTAGTATCTTGTACTATGCTATTACTACTTCCATATTCTCTCCACCCACAATGTTTCTGGTCACCTATTTGATGTATGTAACCTATGCAGCTGTACAATGTCATTAGGGTAAACCAAGAAAACTATTATTATTATAATACTTTACTTTGGAAGTATTTACTACTTAAAAACGTTCATTTTTATTACATTGTAAAAAAATACATGTTTCAAAAACTGTCATTTCCTTCTAAATATTGGTATTATAACAACAATCAGATAGTTACTAACCACCATTTATACTTTCTGTGTTAGCACCTACTTATAATTCAAACCCAAGCTGATAATTCAGCTCTGCTGTTAAATCCGTTACAGAATACATCGACTGTACACCATCTGAGCAGTAGCATTCTTATGAGAGTCACTGCCAAGAAGGCATGAGCTGCATATGTGAAGATACTCTTGAAATTCCAAAAACATATCAGAAATCTTGCATACACCAGTTGCTGAAATATTTGATTATTCCTTTAGTATAAGCCCCAGTTATATGCCATAAACAAGACTGGTTCTGGGGTTCACCCATACTCATTTCTTCGGTGAAAAGAAGCAGGGGCATGAAGCTGACCATTCACCTCCATCTAATGTGAAGGTCAGGTATGGTGGAGCTATATCTTCACTCCCCCATATGTGTTCATGGCAATGCTTAACTAATTAAGCACAGGAACAACTTTACCTACCTGCTGAAAACACTACCATGCCACAGAACAAGTTTTGAGGAACTGTAACAGGTACCACTTTTCAAAATGTTTTCAATATAAGCATCAGTGTTTTCAAATATGAACATCTGTATTTGTTTACAATGGCTTAGCCCAGTGGTAGCAATGAACATGTTAAAAGTTATACTATCATCAAAGTCTCCTAAGAATCTCAGTAATCTACAAGCACCAGTTGGAATATATAGTACATACCAGAGAGAAAGTCAACACTTCAGTGAAACCAGCTTGAGCTATTTGCTCCCTCAACTGATCAGACAGCTTGTTGAGTGGAAACTGCAAAAGCAGAAAATTTCCAATGATTATAATGATGCTGGTATGTCTAAAAACCTTCAATGAGACTGCCTGATGTTAAAAGTGGGGGAAAGTGTAGACTTTGGCAGAAAATGAAAAAGAGGCTTTTCATCTACTGTCACATTTTACACTTGGAACAAAGCAAGATGATTATAACGAAGGTGAGGGAGGGGAAAAACACAGAGTATGAGAAGAAGGCAAGCAAGAAGATGAAGAAAGAGGAAGGGTGGAGGAGGGACAAACTGCAGAGAAAGAAGACTGGACAAAACAAAGGCAAAGAAGAAAAAGGTAGAATTTACTTTTATATAAGCTTGGAGTACAGACAGCTTTAACATCAGAATTATACTTGAACTTGGAAAACACATTATCTCACAAGTGGAACAATATTTCAGTGAAATTAATTAAAATATTCATTTAATCCTTCTGGCCACACTATGGTCCTGGGGTTCACTCAGCCTCTAACAGAAATGAGTACCAGGAATTAAATAAATAATTTTCCTGGGGAGTGAAGCGCGGCCGGTGCATAAGGCTGACAACCTTACCGCCATCTTTGAGCTGATTGTCTAGATAATGTGGGACCCTCAACGTCTCACAACCCTATGGGCCTTCAAAGTCTGTTACAGGGATAGCTTTATCTTTTTACTTTTATAAGATAGGAATATAGGCCATGTAATTGAGTATCAATGCATTAAGCTTACCTGTGCTCCAATTGTAGCTGTTTTAGGAATAGTCTTTTTAATGTTGTTATATCCATAAGAAACTGCCACATCTTCATATATGTCACATGCATGAATAACATCATGTCTGGATGGAGGGACTTCAACGATAACTTGATCTTCTGAGTTTGCTACCTCTGATTTCAGACACATTTTAGTCAGTAGCTTGGCAATTTTGTCTGCTGGTTCGCTAATGCAAAATAATGAAGAACAAACTCCATTAGAATCTTAAAAACAAGTGCACAACAATTATTTTACCAATTGCACTGTGATGTGTAAAAAAGGATACAAATTATGATGAAAACATACCAATAATAAAAAAAAATTTATTTATTACATTTAGCAGTTCCCCATACTGTATACCGTACAAAGTATGGGGCGTAACATAATAAGATATATAACTGATCACTTACAGTGACCAACTCAAGACCAATAACACACTACAGTTTGACCGTACTTTCAAATCTTTTACAGATTCCTGGTTTAGGATTTTATCCTGCCTTGTTTCTATCATAATACCCCGTCAAAACTTCATTTTTATACACACCATCTTTATACTTGCATATGCAAATAAAGCAGTAATGTTTTGTAAGACAAATGATACCTCCAACAGGTGATAAAATCTTTCATGGCCACACAAATTCTCTTTATAATCATCGCTAGGATTCTTTTCTTTCAAAGTAATTTTACTCTATGAATATGAAAACCTTTCAACTTTCAACAGTGTTAATGTACATTACCTCTTCCACTTCTCTGTCTTCCTGCTAAGTTTTAATGGTTATATTTTTATCCCAAATGATTTGTTAAATCAGCATTTTCTGAAGTACTGGTCTTACTGAGTCTTCCCAAGAGTCACACAAATAACAGGTGAAGTTCTGGGAAGGGTATGGAAGTGTAGTTCAAACAAGCTATATTGTAACAGAAAAACTGAAAGACTGATTCAAGCTTGAAATTAATTGCAAAATAAGAACAGATAATACAAAGAACATCCATTCACCTTATTCCTATATATGTGTTGGTTTTCTGTATATTCACAACTTCTTCACGATAAGCTAATTCTGGGTATCTTGTAACTGTACCATCAGGTAGCAAAACTTCACAGCATTCTGCAGTGTATTTGTCTATGCAATACTGGCTGAACATGCATATTAATGTGTCCAAAACAATTTTGGCCTGAAAATTACAAAATGAATATAATTATGATCACTACAAAGATTACAAGACTCTTGCTTGCTTATCTGGTCAGAAATACAAAGAACTGTTACAATCATAATAATACCAAAAGCAGCAACAGTAGCAGTGGTAGCAGCAACAGTAGCAATTGGCTTTTGTGAATAAGGTAGTGAACCTTCAGATTCCATAAAATGTAGAGCATAACTAATTTTTAAGGACTTTGATTCATGTTAGTTAAATCATCATAATAACAATATTGAAAAATCCGATGATAAATTAAATATCATCTTCTTCATCACGATTCATTCCTTACATTGCATGACAATAGCAAGAAGCCAATTATAGGCAAGCATTAAAAAAGACAACTAAAACATACAATACTGTCATGTGTAGGCGTGACTACAGATGGTGTTTGGATTAGTGAATAGATTTACTGACCACTTACAGGTCGCAGCTGCAAAATAGCTAAAACACTATTTCCACACTTTACAGTTCACTAGAGAACACAGTCTAGTGTTCTCAGTCTGTTAATATACGTATCCTCGTAACGACAACAATAATGGCTATTCCTCTGCCTCCAGCTCAAGTCTTCACAAACTCCTGTACAGAACTCACTTGGTTGCCCAAACTGTTTTCTTTGTAACTCCTTGGCAATGACCACATAGAAACACCCAATTTCCAAAAGTACCTCTATTGTTGCATGTTGATTTGTTGCTGTGGGAATGTGTTTGCCAAGCCGTTGCTAGAAACATCTCTGGTGTATTTGCCTATCTAGCAGCTGTCACATAATGATACGATACAACTATTGACTTTTTGAAATCTCATTGCCGCCTGCGAGTCAATTTTATTGAAAATGTGGGAGGCTCCAAGTCTGACAACCATATGGGCCTACACAGCCTGTTACTGGAAGTGTTTTACTTTTTCCTATCTTGACCTTTTGGACATTATCAATTGTCCTGGCTTTTGTTTACGAATATTTTGGACAATGGACTGTCCCTGTCCTCAGGTAAAAGCCTATTCATTTGGGCCCAACTGACAGGGATACCAATATCTCTGCTACATCCAGAGATAGGACATAGCTCTATTGACTGCACCCACCTGAGTAGGCCCTTGCCTGAGGAGGGAGAAAGAGTACAGTCTCTCAAATGATCTTAAATAAAAAAAAAAGATGGCTAATTTTCAAAAAGTAAATAACTGTACTAATATACCAGGGTCACAAACTTCTGACCTCACTTGCACGCACACGCACACACAAAAAACAGAAATCTAACACAACATGAATTACCAACAACAGGGTACAGTATCTCGAAGTAACTGTGGACACTATGGAAGATATCAGCATGTCCTCAACTACAATTCCTAATGGACTCTCTCATAGCAGTACTGTATTGACGTTCTTGCTGAATTCGAGGTGACATGAACATACCTTTGTGAGGTCTAATGCAGTGCACTCAATGAATACATTTCTTGTATTCAGTGTAATCCTTGAATGATTTCCATTAATTATTGGTGGCATAGAAAGAACAACACCATTCTTATCATAGATAATTGGATACACTGGACTATCCTTGATGATATGAAGGTACTGCTTGAGTTGGGCATGGGTCTGAAAGGCAGACCATCATCATCATCATCATCATCAACATACAGTATACAAACATCACTACAGACAGTACACACAGGTGAGGAAGTATTTGCTCTTAACTCAGTTTCTTACTTTCTTGTGTGATTTATGACATTTTCAGCATTCTGACTACACATTTGCACACACAATATCCATTTGATATTCCAGAATAACATTCTGTTTAGCACTGTAAGTACTCACCGAATAAAGGTCCATTAGTTCAGTTGCTGTGTATTCCTTGTCTTGATTCAGAGCCTGGAATTTAATGTCACTGGGTGGCTTTGCATCATATGTGAAGGGGCCTACAACTGTGTCAAGATCATGGGTTCCAATAGCAACTAGAGAGCGTTTCCTACATATATTTTGGTGTAGCTTGTCTTGAAGATCAATGAAACTCTTATAACTGTCCTGGTTAAATGTGATATTCCTTAGTACTGCAGCCACTGCATATGGTCGGATCAGTTTTGTCTGGAAATTTGATAACCACAAACAGCAGAGAAGAATGGTGGTTATTTTACAAAACTGAATCAGCTGCTATGATTACATACTGTCAAATGAGGTAAGGTATGGCACATAATGCAGTGTTGTATGAAATATGGAATGAAGCCTACATGATTAACGGGCTGGAGGGAAGTGAAGCAAAGTGGTCATTATTTTAAATTAAAATATAAATCAACAGTTCCCCAGAAGGACTGAGGAAAACAACGGAAACTTCAGTCAGCATGGAAAAGACTAATCTGGGATCTGAACCATACATCTCATTTCATTTCATTTATTCACCTTCCATAAATCCCGTTGAGAGTACATTCTCATGTGGATGTGGAGATCATCCTAGTTACAAAAACATAAATAAGACATACTGTTTGCCAGGTCTTTTGATCACAAGAATGTGATGTGAATGGTAGTTGGTAGGGAGGGGGGGGGGAGAGAACATGTTGAGTGTTTGTGTTTGTGTGTGTGAGCACGCTTGCGTGGCCAATGCAAGCCTTCATTCCCCCCACTTTAGAAAATGAATCTTTGTTGTTGCTGTCACTGCCATGGCCACCACTGTCTGCAAGGGCTTAGATTGTCAGCTGATTCCATTGTCAAACATCAAGACATCTAGCCACCTTCATTTTGCCTTCCTAGAACACATCTTCCTTTAAAAATTAACTCTCTCAAAATTTCATCAGAATTAATAACATGACATTTGCAGATGCTGCAGTGGAAACTGTCACTGCTGTCATAATTCTTAAAGCACTCTTGTTTGCATTGTTACATAGCAATTCTAGATTACTGCCATTTAATAGCCATAGAAAAAGATCACAAAAAATTATTTTCATTTAACAAAAAGAAAAAGAAAGTCTGTAAATTGTGTGGCCCCTAAAATTGTGCTGCCCCAGGTGACTACTTTGTTTTCCTGTGCTGTCACACCCGCCTTCTATGAATGATGTGTTTCGTGTGTATGTAAAAGAGAAAAAGAAACAATATGACTAAGCACATTACTATTACCTTCCCAAACAAATGACACTTTTAAAACTGTCAAACGTCTAAGTCATGAAATATGAGCATGTACCTAATACTGATGAAATTTTCTTCAATCCATAAATGTTAGTGCACAAAGTGCATAATATTTTAAATAAATCTCAAATTAAAGTTCACTGACTTCTTGAAGATGAAACTGTCTCACAGAATACGGCACAGAAATACATTTATCAGTAAAGCTTCATATTTTCACTCAAAATAATCTTTCCATGTGGTGACTAATTATAAATGTACTATTTAAATATAAAACATTATTCCTGACTTCATTAAGTGTGATACCTGCGACGAAATTAGTTGTGGAATGACTGATTTCTGTCTACGGTAAGTACTGGAGAGACAAATGGTACAGAGAATAACAAGGAATTAATCTACCAAACATGGGTGCACTCCTGTTAAGAAAACGCCTAGAAGGTCTCACAAATTCTGCACAATATCAAGCGGTAGCCTGGCTAACATTCTCCTTTTCGCCACTTGGTATTGTATTTGGCTTTATACATTGCAAATTATTGTGCTAACACAATAATTTATGGCATATAAAGCCAAATACTGTAAAAACTGCTGCTACACTCTACTTACTGCAGGAGTCACGATGAGTTTCTGTACAGAGCCCTTTTCTGGCGTCACAGCTTTGTAACGTGGTGGAGACAACCTGTACAATAAGAGGTATGCCATACAAATTTAGTGAACTCATACCACAATTAAGACTACTGTCTTCTGGGATGTGATCCCATGTAGTCTGGTAGAAGTTTACCAATGTTTTAGAAAAATGAGCCACCTCCATCTTTAGCACTCCTCTACCCTGAAGATTGAAGCAGCATCTTCTTCTGAGAAGCCAATATTTCTACCAGGCTACATGGCATCAACCCCAGAAGACAGTCTCACATAATACATTGCTATAATATTAAAGATTTTTCACTCCTTAATAATAATCTGCCTATGAATCATCATTTTACATATAGCAAGTGTCCAGTCTTAAAAATTTCACATTTAAACACATTTGTCTTCGGTAACTGTATGAAGGGATTAGGGACAAGCTGAGGTAATTAAAAAAAATTAGGAAAATAAGGGAGACTGTTGTGCAGTGAACAGAAAACAAAATGTTGTGGCATGGACATACAGAAGAAATGGGAAAAGTGATCAATCAAGTAACTAATTCTGCTGTTTACCTTTGGGCAGAGAGATCTCTCTTGTGAAAACAGTAAATTTCATGAAATGGCATGGCAATCCCTCTACAGCTTGCAGCACCAGGCTCAATAGTAAAAGGGTAAAATGGAAATTACATTCTATGTCTTCCATTTATAACCACTGGTATATTGCAAAAATTTAACCCCTTCCCCCACCAAACACTAAAAAAGTAATTCTATGAGGTGGTATCAGAAAGTTCCTGGACTGATATTGTTTAATTGCCTCAGTGAAAGAAGATGAGAGGGGAGGCCAGGGCCACACTTCTGCAAGCCTATTTCAACTGTCTGCCACGGGACACAGTGCTGTGAACATGCATTGTTTTTACAAAAGTGCTTTTTTGACTTCTTGTTTCATTTTGTCTTCGATGGATGGCAAAATTGAGCAATTTGCCTGCATCAAGTTTTGTGTGAAGCTCTGTAAATCTGCTACCGAAACCACTGAAATGCTTCAGGAGGCTTTTGGAGAACATTCTTCAAACCAAACAGTGGTTTTTGAATGGCACTCACATTTCAAGGCCAGTTGAGTGTCAGTTATAGATTAACATTCAGGGCAACCAAGCACCAGCAAAACAACAGAAAATTTTTAAAAAAAATTTGAGAACTCAACAATGAAAACTGCTGCTGAACAATCCATGAGCTTGCAGACACCACTGGGAACAGTTATGGAGTTTGCCAGGAAATCTGAATATGTGCTGCATTGCTCCTTCATCACAACACACCCACCCTCACGTCCATGAAAAAAACAGAAACTGTGACTAACAATAATAGGGTTATCATTCCCCATTCCCCCTACTCACTGGACTTATCCCCCCCCCCCCTCTTTTTTTNCTCACTGGACTTATCCCCCCCCCATTTTTCGTTTCCCAAATTGAAAATGGAACTGAATGGACGATGTTTTGAAAGGGAAACACAAGCGGTACTCGACAGTGTTAAGGAAAATTACTTCCATGGTGTTTTGAAGCATGGGAAAAACAATGGGATCGCTGTACACACCCCCAAGGAGACTATTTTGAAGGAGAGGGCAGCCAAAATTGAGCAAGTTAAGCCAGCATTTCTTTTCTGACCTAGTCTGGAAACTTTCTGACAGCACCTCGTATGTAACTTGTCATTCCCAGACTTTATACTACAAACTGTTTATGTTTTCTTCTTGTCTCCTAGTGACATGCTGGAGATTTAATATCAAGAGTCAGAAGATAATTAATGGAACATGGTGAAAAAGTCACTTATATTAATATTTCCTAATCAGTTCTATTCTTAACATAAGATTAAGATACTGAACTTACTTTCCCTGAAAAACAAGAAGACCAAGAACCAAACCTTCTAAACACAAGAGATCGTAACGATTTGCTGGTATCTCTATCCTGTATACTATGTCTTCTGATGCTCCAGCAGATTGTTCAGCCCCTTGCTCATTAGTTATCATCTGCTTCTCTGTTGTCTGAAGAGAAAAGTCACAGATTTATTTAACAAGAATGCTTCCAGCTTATTCTGCAGTAACCTACCTTCCTAGATTTACATCATATAACCTACTGGATACTGGATACATACAGTTCAGCTGACTCCTAATCAGGGAATTTTACAAAATACTAATAACAGTATTCACTGACCACTAGCAGTGACCAAAAAATTATCATGGAACTAATTTCACATTGAGCCTTTGGGATGTTGTTTACAGAATTCTGGACAATCTCACTTAGTCACACATGGTACAGAGGATCTGAAGTTAAGAGCAACATATCGAATATGTCATAGTAACTGGACTTTCTTTCTTTAAATTAGACTTTTCTCCATTATTTTATCCTTGGTCTGGGTGTGTTTACAACAGAAGGAAGAGATTAATCATACTGATCCACCTTCCTCTGTTGACAAGAATATTTGTCTGGCTATCATATGCTGATGCAGACCTTATGATGGTTCAAGCATCCACATGAGGAATATTGCTTGTCTTCACATGGATTCAATTAATCTCTACAACAGAAGAATTTAGGTACTATTCCCCATCTAATCCTTTTGTCAGTCAATGAAGCCTACCTTTACATCATCATTATAAATTTACAGGGATTCCATTTTCAACATGCTTCTGATATGTACAAGTACATGCTGGTGAGAATTCAAATATGCTGGGTCATTACTTTTCTCACCACATGACACACAGTAAGTGTGGATGATGGTGTCATGGGATGCAGAAATCAAGTAAATATATATTCGAACTTTAACACGCGTCCTACAAAACAAAAATGGAAACGCAGCAAATGATGGAACTCTTGCTAAAGAAAATCAGCGCTGGCCAAGAAGAAACAAATATGATGCTGAAAGAGGCAGAAGCCAATAGAAAAGCCCACATGGAAGAAATGAAGGCCATGCAAGAAAATTGGAGGAAAAACAAAGAGGATATGCTGAAAGTGATGAGGGCCAACCAAGATAAAGCAGACATCATGCTGGCCTTAATGGAGGCAAACGAGGCCAAGGTCAATGCCAACCACAATGAGATGATGGCCTGCCAAGAGATAGAGGCACGTCTGCAAGAAGAAGGGCCGGCCTCAGTGCACAGGAAACCTGAGGTGGCAGAGCATCAAGAAGTCCCCGTAGAAGACGCCCCGAAAATACCGGTCGGAGAACCGAAGAAACGGCGTTGGGACCAGAAACTGGCCGCGGAGCGGCGGCGCCAGAAGAAGTTGGCTGTCACAAACAGAGGAACTAGCCGCCGAGTGGATGCGGCACAGTAGAAGAACAGCAGGAAGACATCCCGTCACGCGACAGTGGCACGACGTCGGAGAAACGACTTCAAGAAGGAGACTCCCCAGGGAACCTTCGGATGCCTGCGTAAAGAATCGGCCGCCGACCACAGAGGGACGAGCCGCCGGGCGAATGTGGGACAACCCAAGATAGACATCCTCAGGGACACCACCCAGACAAAGCGCGGACCCCACGAGAGGTTGGGATTCTCCAGCAAGGGGACGACCTTCCGTGCCAGAGTAGCACGGCGTAACAGGACCCCCAGCAAGAACTGGGTCAGGAATAGCATACTGAGGGAAAACGCGACAGGATACACGCCCGGGAGGAGACATCAGACGAAAAAGGAATGCAGCAAATGCGTAAGGAGCCAAGACGTAGAAGAGCCTCTCCTGGATTGCAGACACGTTACAATATATTACTTTTAAATGGAGTGACATTATTTTGGTTTCCAACATTTTTCTACTAAGCAGGATGGTATAGCAGTAAAGCTGTAGGTTTGTGTTCGGAAGGTGCTTACTTCAAGTCTTTGCAATAACAGCAGATTATCTGGAGGTTAACTGTGGTCTTGCACAGTCCCTGCAGGCAAATGCAGGAATAGTACCTCAATTAGGATATGACCAATTCCTTATATCGCCTTTCTATCTTATTATTCAGTCATCCTACTGGTCTGTGCTAGTCTGAGATACACTGAAAACCTGACAAAACAACTCCCCCCTCTAAAAAGGAAGAAAAAAGAATGTAATCTGCTTAATGCTATTTCATAGCACTCATCAAGTCGCACTCTTTTTCATAATTTTGCTTCCTGAGGTTAGCCCAATTTCTGCAAGCCTATAAATTCTGCCAAATAGTTCTTCTTCCTGTGTCAATACAGCAACTGCTCCATTTGTTGTTAACTACTCCAGAAGAATGATAATGAACAATGTTCCCATTACTACTGGTATTCAATCGCCAATTGTGAAAGCTCTTTAAAACTGCATTAAATAAAATGGTATATCCCACTTTTCAACTACATACTGTACAAACACATTAGCCAGACAACAAATTTAAGTATATGTTTATGGGCACAAAATTAAAATGGAAGTACACATGATCGAGCCCAGGACCTCTGAACTACCACCATAGTCAATAAGTTCGTGGACTGGCCGCAAAGTGGCGTTGCAGTGCACTACAGTGTATAGGTTGAGGCTCGATATGATGCCCAGTCAGTTCATCTCTCGTCTCAGCAAGAGGCAGTTATGTGCAAACAGTGTAAGCAGAACTATGGCCTCTATTGTGAACTGCAGTTAACAGCGAGTGGCAGAAATTGAAAATGTGGTAGTTTGAAAGGGCAAACATAAAGTTCTGCCAAAAAGTAGGCAGATCCCCTAGCAATACATTTAACATGAACTGGTTGTTGCTACATGCCAACGCCCTTGCACATTGCTCTGTTCTTATCCAAGAGGAACTGGAAAGGCAACAGGTCACCGTTTTGCCACACCTTCCATACTCACCTGATCTCGCACCATGTGATTTCTTTCTCCTTTACCGCTTGAAAGCAAAGCTACATTGTTGTAGATTTCAGTAGTCTGTGGAGGTCATCAATGCCACAAGAGATGCCGTACGGGAATTTACTGCCAATATGTTTCAGCAATGTTTTTGACAGCTATATCAACATGGCAGACTTGCATAGCAGCCAACGGCAATTATTTTGAAGGCCGATGTGGATCTATGTAACTGTATGGGAATACCTTGTAATATGATGCAACAAAACGACAGTCCACGAACTTAACGACTGTACCACGTATAAATCTGTAACATGATGATGCCTTCAGTTAACAGGCCTCAGTAACTAAAGTTTTCATAGCTGTCCCAAAATGAAAAATTTTAAAGGACATATTTCAGAAAATAAAGTGCACAAAATGAAAGGATGAAACATGTATCTCTTTATTTTCTGTGCACTTTCCAAGCAAAGAACCCCACACTAACTATACATACCTTCACAAAGATCAGTTACACACACACCAGAATGGTTGACAGCAGTTCCAAAGACTTTCTGACATTTGTAAAACTTCCGTACAGGACAAAATTATCATTCCATGTTTAATGCTTTAAGCACAGTAAAATGCCTCTTCAGGGAGGACAGAGTAAATGAAATTGCTTTAAAGTAGAAACTACTTTCAGAGCACCATTAGAGTGATACAGGATTCTTCTTCCAACAGCTGCTCCATCCACCATGGCATCATAGCAGTTGACTGCTTTGTTGCAACCACAGCAAGAGAAATAAAGTATCTAACATTTGTAAGAAAGTAACAGAAATGACATATACAGTTGTATTTTCTAGTGTTAGCTTGTAACAGCTGTGCTCTTTGAGAATTTTCTTCATTATTTATAAACATACATGTTCCAGTTTTTTATGTTGAAATACCTGTGCAGCCTATAAATGATGATCCTAAGGGGCACCAAAATGGGACATCTCTGTTGAACACCCAAGCCTTTTCTTCAGTAAGGTTGCCCAAACTCAGTTTTTAGAAGGAAAATATATATGCATACATGCATGTATGATCTTTTAACCATGTGCAATTGGCTCAGGCAGTAATGCTTCTAACTTATATTTGAGAGGTATAAGGTTAAAATCTTGTTTGAGACACTGACTATCCTGACTGAGATTTTTCTAGTTTTTCTCAGTCCTCCAAATGAATGCTACAATAGTGCTTTAAAACAGGCCATGGCCACTTCCACATCTGTTCCAGTTAATCATCCTATCATTCAACAACATACAGTTTTGGCTACTGACAGCACCATTAAATTAACCACAAATAAATACATTCTCATTTCAATAACACATTTTAAGAAAGCAGTGAAATGTTTTGTAAGACAAATATTATGTGCAATGTGAAGAATGTCAAAAGTAATGATTTATAACACACTACACTGACAGTATATTTGAACAAGTGCTGAAGAGAGTAACCTGACCAAAAGATATCACGAAACAGAACACTGGGACAAATTAATGAAGAAGAAATTCATAATTCATAATTATCTAATATGTTTAGGGCAACTAAATCAAGTATAATGAGAAGAGTATAAAACATAGTACTGCATTGGGGAAACAAGAAATGCTTATATAATTTTTGTTAGGAGAGAACGAACACTTGGGAGTCCAACACAGCGAGGATGGTAACATTACACAGAATTATGCATATATAAGCTGTGAGGATAAGAAGTGAATTGAAGACACCTTTCTGTGTAGTGATGAACTTCCATGTTTATAATTCTTTTACTAGATTACCATCCCCTACTTAAGAGAGACTTAATGTCACAGAGTTACGGCATAAATTTATAATTTATTACATATTTTCCCAACATCTCTGAAAGCAGGTGAAGGAACCAGAATTCCAGTAACATACAACACCACGAATGTATTAATTTATATTAAGCTTTCTCTATTAAAAATTAAACCTGCATCCTCTGGTAATGAAACAAAATGCCATATTGCAGTATGGTGGTTGACCGTTGCTTTAGGCACTTTCTTCAAGTAGATGTGATACACAGCAGACTTTGCCCTTATATTCATAGTACCATATATTCTCAACTTTTGACTGATGGATCTCAAAACTTGATGACTAATGTGAAAAGTCAATGAAAAACAAGGCCCTTATTAGGGCTGCCACTCAGATGTGTATCCTCTATTCTGTGTTATAGTTATATTGTCATGATTTGTTACTTATGCAGTGGTATTTCTTTCATATCAGATGTAATAACCAGACAGCCATAATTTCACTCCCAGAGCTTCCTCTGTGATAATGGTGTACCGTGCAGAGGCGAGACTGACATTAAGGCTGTGGAAGCTCTAATTGTCGATCTCAGAACTGACATTCCAACAGGATCTATAAACTGGTTACAATATAAAAATGGTACCTGCTGGAATCAGGTCTGCAAGCTGCAGACATCAAAACTCTTTCATACCCTACTGTGTACTAAACCTGTACTTACCACTTCATCCAACTCCAATCCAAACTCAAAGCAAAGGTCACTGAATTGATCATCAGCTGAGGAAAAAAGAAAATGAACTGATTCAAGGTTAATGCAGTCCACCTAGGCTAGTGACTCCCAAAATGCACCTGTAGAGGCTACCTCTTTCTTTTAGCACAGCTCGCGTGTTATATTTTGTGCAGGCTCTCTGTGTGCGTGCCACTGCTTTTCTTCAATACGTTTGCTGCAGCACATATAAGCACAGAGCAGGTATCTCTGTGATTCTTTATTTTAAATCTAAATATTAAAGCTAAATTGAGAATTAAAAATTTTAAACCAATCGACAAGTCAATATTAATAAAGATTTTAAACATAATTGAAAAGAACCGACAAGGGGAGTTCTGGAATATCGGGTGGCGATTGACGACAGAGCAATGAATAACTGGAAATCTGGAGTTTAAATGATAATATTGAGTGCAGTGTGACAGCTATGTGAAGTAAAATACACCTGATGATGGCAGTTTGCGGCCAAAACATGTAGTGTGAAAGGAGGACAAGAACTACAATAAAGTGTTGCATTTATGACGGAGTTTATATTATACATATAGAAGTATGGAATGTAACAGGATGCTTAAATATAATATAGTGTATTTTACTTCACTTCTCTTTCATAATGACACTTTGTTCTAAGTTTCTGTGGAAGAGATATAAACACATGGCTCTAGTAGTAGTAAGTGGAAGGTCTAGCTCACAATAAGCCGCCAACATCTGAAGCAAAGATGAATTTCTAAACACCATTTATCACAACCAACTACCCATCACTGAGCTAATGACAATAAAAGCCTTTAACTGTAGCCATACTTTAGAGTTTTACTGACCTTCTGACTGCTTGTTTGTGTAACTGAAGCAGTCACAAATATCCCCACAATTTCAACCATGAGGAGGGATACATACTAAGTAAAGTCTGGTCTCACTTCTTTTCCACAAAACATTCTTCTTAAAAATAGCACCATGCCTCACAGCCCCTCCCTTACCCTACTGAAATCCTTACAATACTAACTACATAAGACACAACAGAACAACACACACACAGCACCCAAAAAATTATGCCAATCACCAAACACACTCCACACAAAGAAAAATATACTTCAGAATTCAGAACTGAATCATAAAAAGTGTTACAACAGTGCATAAATTTTAGGACTCCTGATGATGGCCATGTAGTCCAAAACATGCTCAGAAACTAGGACAAACAAAGTGAAAGAATGAGAGTTTTAACTAAAAATTACATTCTGAATTAAAACTTCTAGCATAAGTTGCATGAAAGATCAAAATAAATATGTTGAAAATAATGCAGTACAACAGGATGCTGTATACTAAAAGTATACAGATTATACATCAGGCCACAGCCGCTTCCCACTGGGTAGCACCAGAATGGACACTACTTCCACTGCAATACCTATGCATTTGACTGCAGCTTCCTTCTGCCAGAAAATATTCACAAGACCACGCTGCCTTCACGGCGCAGGAAGGATTTTTACTTTCTTGAGCAGTTTCATGGCTCTGCACTTCACAGCAACCAAGGCCCTGCCTGCTGCGTGATGCATGCAAATTGTGCTGATGAATCAGCATACCTGATGGCCAATAACGTTCAGAATGAATTACAATTCACAGATCACAGGAGGTGTTGAAAATGCTATCCCTCTACACACAGATATCTTTCGCAATTAAACATTTCATTAAAAAACATAGGTACATAGGTACAGCACACCAGACACCAAATTTCACTGGATGGAGTGGGAGTTTGTGTGTTAGATGTGGATTCTGTGAACTCCGGTAGTGATTATTTTGTGTATTTATGTGTCCCTGCAAGTCAGAATTCATAATATGTGGGGATTTTAATATCAACTACTTGGAAAATAACAACAGGAAGAAATCTAAACTAGAGGCCTTGTTAAATACTTATAACTTTAAGGATACTGTTAAGTTTCCTACAAGAATTACTAATATGTCAGCCTCGCTAACAGATAATTTATTTATTGATAACAGACATAGCTATAGCATTAGGCCATGTATTAATAGGCTATCTGATCACGATGCACAGCTTGTTACTTTCAGGTATGTTACTGTGCCTAATGGTGTTTCTGGCCCTACTTTTATAAGAAATAACAATAATAATATTGAAGATTTTCAAAAGTTATTAAGTTGGGAATGCTGGGGAAACATCTTTGAGAATAATAATGTTAATACTATGTTTAACAATTTTCATAATACGTATCTAAGATATTTTTATACCTACTTAAAAAAAAGTCACGCATAATGTTTATAAGAACAAATTTGATTAGGATATCATGCAAAAGAAAGAGAGTTCTCTTATTGCTTAGCAGGCATTGTGAAGATTTAAATCTTAAAATATGCTATAAATGATATTGTAAAGTATTATCAAAAGTGATTATTGCCACCAAGAAATTATATTACAATAGAATTATTTCCAAATCCAATAATAAAAGGAAAAGCACATGGGAAATTATAAATGAGGAAAAAGGGAAAACAAAAAAACAGTGATTGAGGCTAGCTCTTTCTAACGGACCCAACTGAATAAGTGTTTTCCTTCACCTGAGGATGGAAACAGATCCAGTTTCCGAAACGTCGTGTTTTTATTTGTTATCTTAAAAATCAGGATGGATAAAGTCCAAAAACCCAATATATCAGTAAGCTCTCTGTTCTCACTCTGCTGGAGTTAGATATAAGAACTTTCAAGGTTAGCATCCTTATACCACAGCCAAGCAGTGTCAAATTTAGCATTCTGCAAAGTTGTGAACCAACCATTGCGCCGTCTCGTTTGGTAGACTCGGACATATTTCAGCTCATAAATGACTCCGAATCAGATTGTTGTACCGACAATTCTGAGAGTGGCGTTGAGGAAAGTGAATCAGAAATTGATTTCAACGAAGAACCATCATCTTGGTTGGCAACCTGGGGACCACCACACCAGCATGGCAAGAGGAGTGTGAATAATTATTCAGGTGGAGCTGTGGGCAAACTGTGGCAAACAGTTATAGCATCTGTCATCGAACCTGAAAATGGACAAGTAAACTATTTTTTCATCTCCTGGATCTGAACAGTTACATCCTGTTGTCACACAGAGAATTTTGTCTCGCTCTTGTGCGGAACATGCTGGAAGGGGTCCACCTCGCCATCAATGGCCCAGGGGTCGAACCCCTGCCGTTTCATCGGAGATATCTCGATTAGAGGAGGCCAAACCACATCACTGGCCAACTTCCTCTACTTCGCAATTGAGGTGTCGTGTGTGCTTTTCGCGTGGGAAACGAAGAACCGTCCGGACAAAGTGCGTGAAGTGTGACGTCGGACTCTGGATTTCCGGATGTTTCCAAGAATTTCACATGAAGGCAACATTCCGTTAGATGATGCAGGTGGGAAGACAGACAACTTATAAAGCTGGTGTCCAAAAATGATGTAAGTAGAACAAGAATTTATAACTTAAAATTAGATTTTAAAAAGCTGGCTGCACCCGTGGACTGCGCAACGACATATGGAGTCATTCGTCCCCATGACTTTATTTTTGTGACTCCATATGTCGCCTTTTGGCTTTAAAAGGTTAAAGACAGTGATGCATGGTTTAAAGCTAATTTCCTCACTTTGAATTTTAACAAATCTCAGCATGTTGAATTTCGTTCCATGAATTATTATAACATTACTTCCAAAACTGAAGATGATCAAATTAAATTAATCAAGGCGTCAGAAACAAAATTTTTAGGTTTAATCATTGATGATACCCTCATGTTGACTGTTATGAACAAAATTTCAAGGTCACGTTACACATTGAGAAATATAATGCATTTTATTCCATTAGGTCCATTAAAGTCAATTTATTTTGCCCATATACATTCGATCTTAAGCTATGGCATAATTTTCTGGCCTGGCACTTCCTGTGCTGGCAATGTTTTTATACTACAGAAGAAGGCTATTAGAATTATCATGATTTCTGGTTCAAGAGTGTCTTGTAGACATTTATTTGAGAAGCTTGAACTAATGACATTCTATTCTCAATTAATACACTCATTAATTTTGTTTATGATTAATAATAACCATCTTTTCAATTTTATTGATGAGATTCACAAGTATAAAACCAGTTCTCTTAATAATCTCTATTTACCTTCTGTAAACTTAACAAAATACAGTAAGGGTGCATATATAGCAGGTATTAAAGCCTTTAATCATTTACCTCAAGCTTTAAAAGGGTTGACTTCTGACGTGCTAAATTTTAAGAGAGCACTGAAGAGATTTTTACTTCACCACTCTTTTTATTCTATGAAGGAATACTATCAACATAAGTGGTTCTAATATGCAAATGTATTATAGCTTAACAATTGTAATACACTTTTAGTCTGCAGCAGTCCTATTTAAGACATTAGGAGCAACTATTGGATTGGATTAATGAATTTGAATATAGAAATTAGAATTTTAATAGATTTCAATGTGTTTTGAAGTATATACTGTATGGATCTATGGGAGTTAAATAAGATGATGCTGATATTATAAACATAATGGGTCATAGGTGTGTAATTTTGTGACTGTATTTGATTTAGTTAATATAGGTATTTTACATGAAATGGTGTTACAAGTTTTATAGTAAGTTATGTTTTAAGTATGTCTATTAAATGAAATCTTATTAAATTTTTACCTTATAATATTATTTATGTTTATAGATTGATATAAGTGACTTTGTTTGATTGACTCGTGCAATTTTGTATATGCATGTTGATGTATCTGTATTCAAAAGGACCATTTCCACATCCTGGTTTGTTAACCTGTATGGATATATATGGAAAAATAAAAAATGAAATGAAAGTGAAACCACGCTTCATAGGAAATGAATGTCAACTGTAGACTGATTTCACCTTCAGTGACAGACTGTAGAAAGCAACTGCAAAAATGAACCCCGCTAGCTGGATCATGTGGCTGCAGGGAGTGGATTACTGCTGTTTTAAAGGGTCTAAGCTTCAGTAATTTTGTTGCCATTACTGCACTAGGCTTTGACACTCTTCAGCTAGAGGTTTCAGAGATTTCTAGGTGTATATTCAAGTCTGGCCCCTATGTCATCTAACTTGTCCTCAGTAAGCATTCAGAGCTTATGTTTTTTGCTTCTTGTCTACTAAGAGTCCTGTTACTCTAGGTTTATTCATCAAACTGTGAATCGTTTGTCTGCTAGGAACTCTTTCATCATGAAATTTATGTTGAAATTTTCCCTGACACATTCTAGCACATCCATATTTCACACAGGTCTCTTACATATAAACATGTTGCTCTAAAGTATACCACACCACAACGTACCACACTACTTACTAACTGCAACTCAGAACAAATGGCTAATGGAGCTGATAACTGCTACCTACTGCTGACAAAACATAAAATCCAATACATAAACTGCAATGCTCACTGTGAAACATAATCCCATCAAGTAATCCACAAGTTAATTACTACCCTTCATTCCAAACGTTATTGGCCATCAGCAGAAATTCATATCTGCCTTAAAACTCGCGGTTCACAAGCTGCCGTGAACCAATCAACAAAGTTAAAAATATTTCTCTGTATAAGCTAAGTATGATTACACATCATCTTAACAAAGCCTGTACTCAGATATGCCTTGTATATATGTAACAAAAACATTTCATATGTATACTGTATATTAGTAAGACTGTAAGTCCTACAAACATATGTAGAAATAATAAAGATAAATACTTTTAACAAGGGACTGACTCTGCCGCTCGCCTATGGGGGCGTCCCATGACGACTACATTATTAAAAGTTAGGACTTTCAGATTAGTCACGAGCCCCGAGAAGGGTTAGATAACGAAACTGATGATTGGCCGGAAGGCCGGACTATGTGACCATCACTCATAACGTGACCTGGACTTTCTCCTCATTCAACCTGAAAACTGCAAGTGAAATTTACGCCGAAGCACTGAACACCCGACAGCCGCAATTACGTAATTTAGACACATCAATATTGAGAAAATAAATTTAGTAACTAACTTACTATACTCTTGGCCGAGAGATTTAAAAAGTAAATCTCTCTTGACCCCAATTATTGGCATTACGAACTGTGACTTTAAATTACTTATTTCCTGACAAAACACGTGCACATACAAAACTCCACATCCAATATGTCCAATACCACCAACGTAACAGGATGGAAAATCCCAACGAGTCCAACGAGGCACTGATCCAGATTTTCTTCTGTGCTGCGACACAACTCAGAATTCTGTATGGATTTATCAGAGTATTGATGGTATTTGTTGATTGATTGATTTATTTCGTCTCTATAGATCATTGTTACATGATATAGGACAAGTCAGTTAATGTACATTGGCTGAGTACAATAACAACCCGATGCAATACGTGGCCGTTGTTGCCGAATTTATCGCCTCTTTGCTAGTATTTCCACGGTTTTCATAGAGAAAGGAGGTGTATTCTCTCTGGGCATGGGAGAGAATCAAATAGCAGAATGAGATATGACCCATGATGCTTTTGATATTGTGGATGTTGTTTATGTTTATTTGAACCATATTAACACCTTGTAATTGATAATATGAAGTATAGTGTGACGGTGTTTGTACTACTTACGTGGGCCTTTCGTTGGTCGTTCTGTATATATGAGGATCAGATTGGGAAATTTGACTGGTAATTATTAGAATTTGCTGTAGTCTTATTGTGAAATTATTCGTGAAACCTAACCTCACAAACATTGGAACACTGGGAAATGTTCATCACAAGAATTTATTATATATACATACAAAAACAATTTTTATTTTACTCATGAGATGTGATGAAATTCACTGACAAAAAGTATATATCTGTAAATAGTAAATATATAGTCCATTTGTATTCTTAAACATTTACATGCACATGCGGTAGTTAGAATGGAATAGGAAACATGCTAAAAAGATTGTGGTCGATATATACTGGATTGGTGGTAATCTCAGCAAACCCTGAAACTGTCACTGGAATTTGGGTAGATTTATTGTCACTGTAGAGCACTTCAAATCTGAGGTTGATATTAGTTGTTATTTTTTATTACCCCCATAATATAAGCTGACACTATAAAGTCTTTCTTTTATAATGGAAGAGGTTTAGGCATTAAGCGTCACAGAACTGTATTTACAGAGGAGTTGTCAGATTCAAGTCAACCTCTTTCCCTAAAAATGTAAATAATAACATAAAAATGGTCTTTTTCTGGGAAAAACTCGAGAAGGAAGGTCTGTGATGAAGGGGTCACATTTATATAAGCAGTATAGTAGATTTATGTAATAATAAAGAATTATTTATTTATTTTGTGTCTATAGATAACTGTTACATGCTATAGGACAAGTCAGTTACTGTACATTGGCTGATTACAATAAGAGAATAAATTGTTTGCAATAGATTACAATAGTTAAGATTTCATATAGTGTGAGGTGGAATCCATATTAGGTCCCCTCAGCACGTCGGCTTCCATATGTCCTATTGTACCTGTACTGGTGATATTGCTTATGGAGAATTTGATGGAATGAGGATTAATAGGGGAAACCGAAGTACTAGGGGGGGGGGGACCTGCCCCGGCGCCACTTTGTCCATCACAAATCCCACTTGACTAGACCTCAGTGGTGGGAAGCCAGTGACTAACTGCTTAAGCTATGGCACAGCCTTATTCTTAAGTGTGTTTGGAAACCATCTTTCCATCTCTCTGAAGGTCTAGGTACGTTACTGACCTTGCCTTTTAAATTGAAGGAAATAAATGTATGCACAGAATATTTTAAAATATCAGTAGACAAGTAAAACATTGACAAGTATGAAAATGAAATGTCACTGATTGTAGCCTGAATAAGTCTTGCCCACAACACCTAATTGCTCTTATTTGATAAGTACACTGTTGTAAAATCTGTAATAATGTTGATATTTTTCTAAATTGTTGCACATTTAATTATTAGATTTACTGTGGTGTGGTAATAGAGTAAGAGATTATGAAGCCTCACACTGTTTGAAAAGTGTTCTGTGACTTCAGTGCATCATACTGCTAAGTAACAAAATTTATTGCTGATGACTTCATTAAATGTCATGAAATACTGATACATCCATAAAAAGTATCTCATTAATTTTTTTGAGAAAATATGATCAAGTCCATGTAGATAAAGATTTGTCAGATGCATTTTCTGTTCACTAGAATCTAAAGTGAGGTCATGCCTTGTTGCCATTGAATTTGCTTTACGAAGTGTATTGGAAAGTTCTTAAATTGTTATTGTTGTAACTGCCTTGGGGAAAGAAGATGAGAGGAGAGGCCAAGGTCACACTTCTGCAAGCCTATTGCATCAGTCTGCCATGTAACACAAACCTGTGAACACACACTGTTTTTACACGAGTGCTTTTTCAACTTCATGTTTCATTTTGTCTGCAATGGATGGCAAAGTCAAGCAATGTGTCTGCATCAAGTTTTGCGTGAAGCTTGGTAAATCCACTATCAGAATCTTGGAAATGCTTTGTGAAGCTTTTAGAGACAGCAGTTTTTGAATGGCATTCACAATTCAAGGCCTGTCGATTGTCATTTGAAGATGTCGAATGTTCAGGATGACCAAGCACCAGCAAAACATCAGAAAATATTGAAAAAATTGAAAACTCATCCATGAAGACCATCGCTGTGTAATCAGTGAGCTCCGAGACACCACTGGGATCAACTCTGACTTTAACTATGACATTTTGAGACGCTTGAGAGAAAATGTGTGATGAAAATGACAGGAATTTCGGCACAACCGTAACTGGCTTCATCATGACAATGTGCCCACCCACATGTCCTTAAAAACCACAGAGTTTGTGACTAACAGCAACATGGTTGGTTACTATAGGATTCTGACGATGGTGTATAACACACTGATATGTTGGGTTTTTGGACTTTATCCATCGTCCTGGTTTTTAAGATAACAAATAAAAACACGACGTTTCGGAAACTGGATCTGTTTCCGTCCTCAGGTGAAGGAAAACACCTATTCAGTTGGGTCCCTTAGAAAGAGCTAGCCNATCAGCAACATGGTTATTCTCCATCCTTCCTATTTTCCGGATTTAGCTCCCTGTGATTTCGCTTTGTCTCCCAAATTGAAAATCAAACTGAAGGGATGACCTTTTTGAACAGTGTCTGACACCAAAAGGAATCACAAGTGGTACTTGACAGCATTAAAGAAAATGACTTCCACAGTGCTTCTGAAGCGTGGAAAAAATGATGTGATCACAGTATATGTTCCCAGGCACTTTCCAGTATATGCCATTAGGAAGTTCTAAGAGAATCCAAAAGGGCTGGAGCTGATGGCAACACATCAACTTTTGGTCTACACTGATGATGTTAATGTATGGAGTGAATATATAAATACTGTAAAGAAAAATACAGTAGGTATATTACATACTATTAGGAAGGTGTGTGGAAGTGAATACAAAGAAATCCAAGTATATGTTAGTGTCACATGATTAGAATTCATGGGAAAATCATAATATAAAGTTAGTAATGCCTTCAAAGATGTGGCAGATGTCAAATATTTGGGAATGATGGTAAAAATCAGAATCACATTTATGAAGAAATTAGGAACAGGTTAAATCTTGGGATATGTTTGCTGCCATTTGCTTCAGAATCCTTTGTCTTCCCATTTGTTGTCTAAAACATAAAGATTAAAATATAAGTATTAGCAGTTGTTTTATATAGATGAAGAACTTTGTCTCTCACATTAAGGGAAGAAGATGGATTGACTGTGTTTGAGAACAGAGTTTGTAGGAGAATATTTGGAACTGATAGGAAGGAAGTAACTGTAGGCTGGAGAAAAAATGTGTAGTGCAGAGATGGATAATCTCTACTCTTCACCAGGTATTCTTAGAATAATGAAATCAAGGAGGATGAGATGGATGTGGCATGTAGTCCACATAGGAGAGGTGAGGATGCACACAGAATTTTGGTGGGAAAACCTGACGGAAAGAGACCATTTTGAAATGTAACTGTATATGGGAAGGTAATATTATAGTGTATCTTAAAGACACGATGTGGGAGGGTGTGAACCAGATTAACTTTGCTCAGGACAGTGACCAGTGGACATAGTAATCAACTTCCTGGTTCCATGAAAGCCAGGGAATTTCTTGAATTGCTGGGTAACTGTTGGTTTCTTAAGAAAGGATTTAGCTACTGTTACCCAGTACTTCAGTTTTTGATGCTATGTGACAAGATTAATGTTTACCTCCTCCTTTCAGGAGACAGACCTACATTGGGAAGTTGAAGTTTGCTTATTTAGACACAATATCTACAACAAAGAAAGCGTTTGTTGCTACTGAAGAGAATGTAGTTGCAGCACTAAATTTGAAGACTGGTAATTTCATCATCAGTTTTATCCCTCTTTCTCTCTTTCTGTCTTAACATTTTGTGTGAACATTGTCCACCATCTGTTGTATTTTATATATTTTTGGGAGTTGCTTCTACTTCTGTCTTCTTGTGAATTGTTATTGTTTTTATTTTTAATATTAATGAGAGTAGTCAGGATCTGAACACTAACCTGCAGTCTTACCAGCAGGTTGTCCTGGTTGTCAAACTTTGCAATATATTTATTTGTGACTATATCTCAGTCAATAGTCAGTGGCCAATATGATTACTGTGTAATGAATTAGTCAATGACATAAATGTCTTCAGATTCATTAGTTCCTTCCCTATTGAACACTCTTTTGGGCCTCTCTCTCCTTTGATTATAATTTAGCCTTTTAAAGTAATTGTTCTCACAGAGAGTTTGACATTGCTCCATTTGGATTTATGTAATATTTTGAAGTGGGTATCAAAATGCAATGCACTTCGATCACTGGACACCTAAAACATTTAGGCAGTGACCTAATATCAGAATGAAACTGAACATTGAGGTTAAGTGGCTAAAACTTTTTCATATTCAGGCGAGTGTTTTCTTTCAACATATACACATGCCAGCAAACTTGCATAAAGTGGCATATCTGCACATGGACTGTATACTTTAACCTAGAAGCTAAAACTGGGCATAAGAATACCAACAGGCATGTATTTAAAAAAAGACCTGCTAAGTCAGATCATTCCAGTTTCACGTCTTCGTGCAGAGGTTGGATATCCAGGTTTTAGTTTTCTGCAGCCTGTCCAGGCAATGCTGGTATAGTACAATAAGCCATGGCTGCATCTACCTTGTTTCCAGTTCATTGTTCCCCAGTACTATGCTGTATGACACTATAATTAATACAGTTGAAAGGTGTCAGTAAATTGCCCCCAAAAACATTGAATTGGAGTGAGTTTTGTAACACTTTAAATCTGGATACTTGAACTTTTTTGTTGTCTTGTGAAAATAGCTGATGACTTCATTTGAAAATCGCTGTTGTATAGGGTAATTTAACTATAAGTCATTTGCATCTAGAAATTCCTGGCTACTGATTAATGAATTACCAATTTATTTAGTATAGAATTCAGTCCAACTGAAATTTTGGTTTAATTAGCAAAAATTGTATTGTCTCCAAATCAATTTCTTCAGTATGTTTAATGACAATTTCACTTCAGCGGTATATATTTAATAATATGAGTTTCACAGTTTTGAAGAGTTTTCCGATGACTTGCTTTCTGTCTGGTTTGGTCTCTGTTAATGAATATAATTAATGTCAAAGCTACTATGGACACAGTATACAAACAAATGAAGGCACTTTTGGTGTGCAGCGTGGACAAAACTAAGATGTGAACTGGATTAAACTGCTTAGAGGAAGCTTTATGAATCTTTGGGTTCCCTAATTGGGAATTTTATCATCAGCTGAATAATGATCTGCAGCTCAAGGATCCTATACTGCAGAGAATTGGTTTGTTAGTAAGTCTGTAAGGTAGTCTCTTAAGTGTTTGTATAGCATATATAAGCAGAGTACAGCGTTTACTACTGCTTTCTAGGTCAAATTGTTTGGAGACATGTCCTGGAGAAGGCAGATCAAGGGGAAATCCAATTTATGGATGGTGATGGTGATGACATTGTGACTGTGTCAGGTAGAAATATTTTTGTGGTGCGGACATGGGATCCTCACAATGGTTTTCTTAAATCTGAGTGGACAGTGGCACAACCATTAATCAGGAGGTAATGCTTGTTGTTTTGATAGGTGTTAAGCTACTTACAAGATACAGATTTACTTCAAAACTCTTATTAGTCTTAAACAATGTAAATGCTCCAAAACCAAGTGCTACATAAGGTACCCTTTTCCAAGAGGATAATTTCAAAGGAAAATAATTGTATCAGATTTCTAGATAAACTTAACCTCCTCCTATTTCTCTGTTGTGACCCATTTTAAGAATACAGAATGTTTTCTAGTGGAGAACTATGTTTGCACTGTTGGTATAGTGACTAGGCTTTGGGCTGTATGATTGAGGAATTTGGGTTCGATTCCAGACAAGGGCAAGAGATTTTCCTCTTCTCCACAGCATCCAGACCAGTTCTGGGGCATACCTAGTCTCCTGCCCATTGGTTACTGGGCATATTCCCTGGTGGTAAAGCAGCCAGGCATGACCACTAATGTCCATTTAGTGCAGATGTTAAGAATGTGTGGGGCTATACCTCCACTTCCCCATATGTCTTCATGCCATGATGTTTAATGGATAACTTTACCTTTTCCTTGCCCCTAGTATTGCCCTTTGTCTACTTCTGTTGCCACTCACTGACTTCAGAAATGTTCCTGTCTTTCCCTTTTGCATATACGATGATCATTAATTTAATACTAGCATTAATATCACACTCATGGGAATGAAGGTACCTGTGAGAGTGAGCCCCTTTTGCCTTCATGAGGGTAATTGTGTGATTTCTTAAGCACATGTTTAACCCTTTGCATAAACATTTTGAATCTCCTGACACTTATTCATAGCAGAGGGATTTTGCAATTCAAATGCTCACTTTTGCAATGGCTCATAATATAACTAATATTTAATACCCTGTTTCTCTGTTATCTTCAAATATAAAACTGAAGGAAACCTTAAATTAAGGTTGTGTAATTTTGAAATTACAGGTTTGGAACTACAGGATTTGAATATTAAATGGAGGACAGCCTTATAAGTGAAAAATATTGAACAGTGGTTCCATTGTATTTGTATGAGTCTTTTGGTGTTGTTAACTGTCCAACTTTTTTTCAGACTGATAGATATAAAGTGGTTTTTGTACCAAAAGCAACTGTTCCAAGTTGTATCTGTTGCCCTCTCTGACATAACCATCACTGCTTACAACATATCAGCAGGTACCAAAGTTTCATCTGATCTCATTCATGCACCATGGATGGCACAGGATTCCAGGTATTATTTTCTTTCTTTGTTTATATTGGTTTCATAAAGGTAAAACATGCATGTTCTCCATATGCTCTTCACAGTAATTTTGTGATAGTTCCAGCATTTTTCTGTGGTTCTGTTCTAGGTTTATTTAACAATGCTGTGTGTATCTCATTTTATATATTGTTCAATGAGAAGATGATCTGTGAGTAACGAATTGGAAAGGATCTGGAAGGAAGTAGTCATGAGCTAATTGAAGTTATTATCCCAGCATTTACCTGAAGGGACTGAGGGAAACCATAACAAACCTCAGTCAAGATAGTGATCCTTCAGGCTGAGGTATGAACTCAGGATATTCTGAGTATGAAGTACGAGAGTGTTTTTACATTATTTACTTAAGAAGCTGGGACACATGGTAGCATAGTTGGTTGAGGCACTATGCTACAAGCCAAAAGGTCATGGGTTCAATTCCTGATCATGTCATTGGATTTTACAATTGACCTAAACACTCCAGCTATATTATGACCCTTGAGTCTACTCAGCCTGTAACAGAAATGAGTACAAGGAATCTTCCTTGTGGTAAAGGGTGGCTGGTGTGTAGGGATGACAACCTCATGGCCATCTGTGAGCCGTTTATCTAAAAAATATGGGAGCCTTGACATCTCACAACCCTATGGCCCTCCATGGCCTGATACAGGGATAGATTTACCTTTATTTTTGTACTTAAAAAGCCATGTAATTGCCTGTGTTTTGAGGCTTCCTGTCCAAGCTTAATTTATTTATTGATTGCATGTTGGTTTTAGTACATATTACAAAGGGTAAAGAACAGCAGTGTGCCTTGTGGTACTAGATGTAAATATCTTCTTCTTTACTGGTGCTACAACCCTGTGTGGGTCTTGGCCTTCTCCATAGTTTCGTAACAGTAAATATGTCTGGGTTGGGATTATTAGACCCATTCTCAACCCCCAACTCTGAGAACTGGGGAGTACATTTTGTCTTACCCATACCCTTTGACCTGTCTGGCATGGGTGGCTCTACCAGGAGCGTACACTCCCACCAGCATAGCTCTACACGTCATTGGGGTTCACAGACCTCCTCTCCATGACAAGGCAGTAATCCTTGAGGAGAATGTATGTATGTTATAATCTTGAAGATAAATTATTTGTTCTCTGCCTGTACTGCTTCAGACTCTGGCTCTTGGTCACAAAACAACTTGCATTTTATGTATATAAATATTTCTAGTAATTTTTAAATATGAAAATGAAACTAAGTGGACAAGAATGGTATAAAGCTCAATAAAATAAACTGAATTAAGTCAGTCCTGAAGGAACCTTAATGATGTAGTAAACCAGCGAGTTTCATCTTATGTTGGCATCAGAGGATCGGAAGTATGTAGACAGTGCTTATGTATGTCATCATGGGAAGCCCGTGTACATAACAGCTGCCACATCTACAAGTAAACCGACTAAATACAATTGCACGAAAGTACGCAATAAAAATGAAGTTAAAACTTCTTAAATTCTTTTATTATCCTGGTCACATATTTGTTTGGCTTGCAGTGAAACATGTTAAGCCTCTTGTATGTGTCTGCTTATGTAGGTGTGTGTTGGCCGTGCCATACCTGGCTTGCTTGGATAAGGTAGGACAGGAAGTGCTCCTGCATTCTTTCTCTTTAACTGGGGCCGGTACTCAGACCAAGTCACTGTCTGCATTCATGGGAGAAGTAAAGACCAGTGTAACACTGGAAACAGTTGGAGGATCTCAGCCTGTTGTAGAAGTGGCCATGGTGGGCAACTCCAGCAAACACATACTCCTTCTGGAAGCAAATGGATTTACATTGTATCCTCACCAGCTTCCATCTGCAGCTAAACTGTATGTTGCATCTTATGAGAAGAGCAGTATTGTACTGCAAGCATTGTATATGGAAGGGGTAAGCATTATTGTGCAATTTTTATGCTTTGCATCAATTTAAGGTATAGTAGTGACTGTTTTGGCCATGGTTGTTCTGAACTTTCCATCTTCCTTCCAGCTGATTGTCAGAATAAAATAAAATTATATTTGAAAATTAATACCTTCTGGTATGTGGTGCCATGTAAGATATACATCCCAGGACACTTCCTAGTCACCATTGAGAGAACCTCGAATCCAACAAATCCATATCTGATGACTCTCTGGGAGAATAACTTCCCTTGCAGTAAATAAAGGCTCTGACTAAGCTGGTGTTATGCAAAATTACATCACAAAAATTTGTGTTTGCTTAAAGGAGTTACTGTATACAATTGTGATAAATTAACTTATTTACATGCTTAGTTAATGCAACTGTTTATATAAAACTGAATGCAATTATATGATCAAAAATAGCAGATTAATTTTTAAGACATTTAGTGGCATACAAAATAAACAGTGAAAGAAGCTCAGTCAAGTATCAGAGTAATTGTGATGCCACAAGAGGCATGGTTTTGGTGTATATTCAGTATGTGGTATCACCAGAGGTTATGATTATATGGTTACAATTTCCAGCACAGTGAAAATGTGAATATCGATATTTGTTTTGTTCACTATTATGGATTTTTTAAATTGACCTAATCCTTCCAGGCGCACTGTGGCCCTGGGGTTGATTCAGCCTCTAACAGAAATGAGTACCAGTAATCTTCCTGGGGGATAAAGGGTGGCCAGCACATGAGGCTGACAGCCTTACCGCCATCTGTGAGCCAATTGTCTAGATAATGTAGGACCCTCAGCGCCTCACAATCCTATGGGCTTCCATGGCCTGTTACAGGGATACCTTTATTTTTTTTTACAGTGAAATGAGGTGTGAGTCCTAAAAGGTTTAACATTTCTTACATAAAATGTGGGTTGTCTACTAAGTTTGTATTCGCTAAATGGGGGAAGAGAACAGATTATTTATGTTGGGCAGAAGTATTCTGTATATAAGGTGGGATTTCAGTAAACATGGGAACATCAAATTGGGATTTTAGTATAATACTCATGTGACTGCTTACTCCTCCTCCCACTCTTCCATTTTACATGCATAATCACCCACTGCTCTTTTTCTGATGCTGATGCAACAGCATTAACTAATATTTGGATTTGTCATAGCCTTTTGGATGTTTATTTGAATAGAATGAGTTACTGGTTTCTTCCAGACAGATAAGTGACTCTTGTTAAGTATCCTGACATAGGGTCTGCCTCCACAGATTTCTTGTATAGGCCCTACATTCTTGTATTCCGTGTGAGGTGATTGCTCCGTTCCTTTGCCTTTGCAAAGCCTTTGCAACATCAAAATATCACTCCCAGAAAGTAACATATTTATTATATCTAGTAACAAGAGGTCCAAATCATAAAATTTCACCAACAAAACCATAAGTAATGACTTTCTGAAGGGCAAATAATAATGGTGATAGATAATGATGAAAGTCAATAATAAGCTAATGCAAGGCATAAGGTGTTGGTGAGTTTTATTTATGGTTCAACCGCATCTTTAGATCTGCATTTTGCCTGATGTCATACAGCATAAGGTAAGGTAAGGTAAGATAAAGTTGTTCCTGTAAATAACTAATTAGTCACTACACCATGAAGATGTTTGTAGAAGTGAACATATAGATCCACGTGTTCTTGACTTTAGCACTAGTTGGAGGTGAGTGTTAAGTTTTATGTCTTGGCCGCTTGACCCCCAAGGAAAGAGCCCCCAGTACCCCGTTGATTAGGAGGCTGGGTGGGCGCCAGAGCAAGTCTGGACAACGTGAAGAGGAGAAAAATCTTTCTCCTGCTGGGACTTGAGCTCTGACCCATCAGCTGTCCAGCCCATAGCCACTTGCTATATCAACTGCACTATGTAGAAAAATTAATTGCTCCATATCATACCTGTACTAAACTGTAATATGTAAAGCATATTTAAGTTTGTTCATCTTATAATGTAAGGCTGCAGAAATTTCATTGGCACAGCAAAGGATTAATTCTGGTTCTCTTCCTCCCCAGTTAGGAAACTTGTAATATTTTACAGTGATGTACTCTAATTTTTTCAGTGGTTGGTGCTGTCAGGATCCACACTAGAGACTGGAAAAGAACTGAGTGATCTTGCAGGAAAACTGAAGTATCCATCAGGATTAGGTGAAGGGAATATAGCAGCTGCAGTGTGTTCCCCAAAGAAGGATAAAGGAAAAGGCTGTCGGATATTACTGGTGACAGATGATCATGCGATTGCTCTGATGTCCCATCCAGGAAAGTTTGTGTGGGTTAGAGAAGAAGCTCTGGCATCAATTGCTGCAGTTGAGATTTTAGATTTGCCAGTGTCTGACACTGATGCAGCAATTGAGAAGGAATTTGACCATAAAGAGAGTTAGTATTAAAATATTAATTGTGTTATCTTTTCATATATGGTAAAGCTAGATACATTATTTTTTTGAGAGGATCATACAAAATAACAGTAAAATAAAATGTTTCACCCTTTCCCTGCAAATGAACCAATTATGCCAGTGGCAGGTGAAATGTGTTGTGCCAGTCCCATAATGATCTGATCTGGTCTGTGCTTAGAGACTTGTTTTCTGTTGCTTCTAATTCTTTTGTATGTTGAGAGATGGAACTACTGTTGCACAGTGGTGTAAGATTTAGAAAGACCATTCAGAAGGTGACTGCAAAGTAGGAACATGCTAGAGGTTAATCTAGGGATGGAATAAGCCAAAGGAGGTGAAAGTAACAGTTTTTCATAGTCCGTAGCACTGGGTATGGCTGTTAGAGGGTTAAGATTACGGAAACAAATATTTATTGTCCTCAAAAAAGAATACTTTTATCACACAGTATGCTGATTGCTTACAATCAGTTATAATTCTGTAGTTCAGAGGAAAACAGTGGTAACTACTATCACATAGGTTTGCAGTAGACCATTTGAGCTGCCAGCATATACCTTTATTCAGAATGGAATTTGGACTAATTTTTTATACATTAAATTCCTGATTTAATTCTTACCAGTATAGTTTTATTTATGTGGTAACATAAAAGTATCACTTTATCCCACATGAGAGATGCATTTTTGATACATTTATTTCCTGTGATCTGTTCTGTCAGAATGTTTCTGTTTAATGGTTGGGATGGGGGGAGAGGTCACTTTTTGTACATTATAATGGAATTAAAATGGTGACAGATAAGAAGTGCTGCATCCTTAACATTGAAATTTTATTATATATATTGTGACATATTGAACATATGAACCTTTCTTGTTTCATTGCTTTTCTGTGCTGCCAGTGGATTTTGGGGTTTCATGTAAGTATAGGATGGATTTTGCATGAAGCATTTTGCAGCATGCTCTTTCTCTTTTGGATGTGTAGAATGTTTTTGTTTTGTCAGTAACAGAATAGAAGTTGGTATAAACCTAACTTGAAATGCTGAGTAATAAAACATCATGCCACTGTTTAGCACTTCTTTTTGACCTTCTGCCAGGAGATTGTGTGGCTTAAGTTTTTTATCTTATTTGTAAGACTTATGCTAGAGAAAAGCCTGTGAAGTCATCAGATACAAAATATTAAAATGGGATTCATATTTATTAAGGCTACCTAATTCTAGAGAAAGTAATTCTGTACTAAAAATAAATTTGATGCAATTCAGAATGGAATTATGAAAAACAAAGTATAGAGTCGTGGTATAATAAATAGTGATTTAGCTTGTATATATTTTGGCAGCAACATAATTGCTAATTATAAGCACAGTCTGACTGATTAAGGAAAAATCTGAAGAGAGTCAATTTGTAATTGATTATGTACATTGTGTAAAGAAAGAAGTTTTATGGCCTAGAAGGAATGATATGTACCATCAGTGAAGGAGTTTATAAGAGTCTTCACAGATGGGTTAAAGCTTACTGCACTATATATTCTCTGGATTGCAAAGGTGAAAAAAGACATCTCTTTCCCATTTATCTTTAAATCATATATCTCATATGCTCTCTATATATTTTCTGATACTGTCAAAATGACAGATGACATCACATATACTCGTACACTACAATGGAACGTACACATACACATACTCGTATATGACATAAACACCATCCCAAGTGCAACAATTTATTGTAATTCTTTTGTCTTGCCCTCTTCTACACTACATGTTTCGGCCGCAAACGGCCATCATCAGGTGTATACACTTACGTAGCTGTTACACTGCACTTAGTTTAAAATTTAAAACCACGAGTCTTCCCAATTGTTCTTTTTGTCGTTACTAACAGGTTTCGATTTATTAGAATCTACTTTGCTGATATCTGTAGAAGATGGCAAGACAAAAGAACTACGATAAATTGTTGCACTTGGGACGGTGTTTATGTCATATATCGTATAGAGTGCAACAGGATGCTTAAATATAATATTGTACACATACACATATCCAACACCTCACCTATTTACTTATGAGTATTTTATCTGTTTCATGAATTTATTTGATTTTAACATTTAGAGTAAATATTGACATTTTATTTATGACTGTTTGGTTGTAAAATGGATCCACTTTAGCTGAACAATTCAACAACATTTATTTATTCATGTACCACCCGATAATGATCTAATATAATTTAAACATGCAGTGGATATATTCGATAAAACAAGTACTAGTATGTTTTAATATTGATTTTACTGTTAATTGTTGTTTTGATGGAAACAGGGCACTTGATAGACACAACAGGATGCCAGAAATAAAGATTACACATTTACAAATATCTGCAATGTTTAAAACAAGAATTTCCTAAACAGTTTCTAAATTCTTAATAACATTCATATATGCTTTCATTAACTTAATTTCATTTAACAGAGAATGTTTACAGAGTAATACATAGATTATGTTTGCCTGATTTTAAAAGAAAGTATCATGAAAATCTTTAAAATGGCAACTACATATCACATAATATCAACATTCACAGAATGAAAACAGTGCACTACAAGAAAAGACTGACCATTCCTTTGTGGTCTGCTACAAAGGCCCACTTTTATACAACCAAGGTGAAAGATTACAACGAGAAATAGCTTAATTTTGCAGCTGTTATTAGTCTGGTTGCAGAACATTTATTTTTACGTGTCATCAAGTTGATGCCAGCTTTCAAATGAGTGGTCATGCACCTCTGTAAGTGCTTCTGTTCACTCGCAATTTCAGCTGGATGAAAAACTCCTACAGGATTATAAATATAGATATATAATTAGGAAAAGGCAGTGTAGAATTTCATGAAGCACCTCTTCAGTTATGGCTGCTTCTTGGCTGTACAGTTGTTTTTTTTACAGCTGTTTATTTATTTATTCATGGAAAAAGGTCCCAGTTTGTCATACTTGTTGTTTGTACAGTCAGAAAGAAAGACGTTTTACTTAATATTGGAAGGTGAGTTACTTTTCTTCAGAGTAAAGCAGAATATGGAAGTACAGAAATGCAAAAGCAGTTGTAAGATTTGAGATTTTCATGGCAGTGACTATGAAGAATATCGTCTTCTGGGATGTGGCGCCATGTAGATCTTGTATGAACCAATGTTTCAGAGGAACATATTGTCCCCATCTTAAAGGTAGAAAAATTCGCAAGTGAGGAACCAGCATGAGGAGATGACATCGGTTCACACAAGATCTACACAGTGCCACATCCTAGAAGACAGCATTCTTCATAATCTTAGGTTCTTGAAGATGTCTGTATTATAGAATTTATTTCACTTTGTTTTGGGCAGTTTTCACAGTTATTGCATTCAGATGTTTGTAGGAATGTATGTGTTATTTTCTTAATAGCACTGTTACATGATTTGTGTTGGTTATTTTAGATTTTAGATAGAAATTTTTGCCATGTGTTAAGTATGTTTAGATCAGCAGTTCTTAAGGAGTAACTTTATCATGGCTACATTCATGAACACATATGCAGGTAAAGTCATTCCTGTGCTTAATTACTTGAGCACTATGCCATGAAGACGTAGGAGTGGAGGGTATGGCTCCACCATTCTTGACCTTGGTACTAGATGAATCAGACTTTCGTGACAAACATTGTGTGCATCTTGTATACTAGAGGCTTCATCATTTTATACATGTAGAAAGCAAGAAATTTAAATATTGGACTGAAACTTGATATTATGTTTCTTCTGACTTTTCTCTCTCCATTCTTTCATCCATTCATTCATTCTCTCTTTTTCATTCTTTCATCTGAGGTGGTGTTTATGTTTATATAATATGTTTTACTGTTGTGGCATGGGAATTGGGTGATTAAAGGAAGGTTCTGAACTCAAGTGCAGATTTTTCTGCATGCCACCACCTTCTGTCACATCTGACAACATTATTTGAATGGAAGTTATGGTTAATAATCCATGATAAGCTGTAGATCATCTCTTCTTGTCGTCACTTCACTTTGTCATTGGAAGTAAACAGAATTACATCCAATGGATGCACCCACTTAAAGTGGATTCTGCCCCTCATGCCACTCAAGAAGTCAGCAAAATCAAGATATTTCATGTAATAGAAATATACATGTATGGTAAAGGTAAATGTTCCCCATCCTCAAGCACAATTTCCTTAAGCCCAACAGGGGAATGGAGATTAAATTATACATTCCAGATCTTGGCAAAATTACAGGTGAATGGTCAGGTCCATGCACCAGCTGTTCTGCTTCCAGGGAAAGAGTCCCAGTACCTACTGGGAAGGAGGCTTTGTGGGTCCCAGAGCCAATCTGGACTAGATGAAAGTAAATAATCCCCAACTCAGTTAGGAATCAAACCTTGACTTTGTAGCTCTATCACTTCACTGACTGAACTAACAGTACATGCATGTGTATGCAGATACACACACACACATACACATGCATATGCATACTGTTTTGACTCTGCATGTTGTGACAGTGTTCAGTAATCAGTGGATAGGTTATTCCATGTAACAATCAGAAAAATGATCACAGCTGTTTGAGGAACCATCATTAAGATCAATCTGGTTCCAACAATGAAAGGTGGCACTGTTTCTTGGTAGTCAGTAAGTTACATCAAGACCATTATTGATCCCTTTTGAGCCTCTGAACAGTCTTATGCCAACACTTCATGCAGCGCTAATGGAGCAGTTATTCTGCATATGTAGACAAAAGAATAATTAGAATGTAAAGTCAAAGAAGCTCCAAAAAGAGGCAGAGGTTCTGTTTTATAGCACGTGCGTGTGCATGTGTATTTGGAATAGAAATGTGAGCAGTGTCTGTGTATCTCTTCAGCTGCTAGTCTTCACATGTGATGGTTGTTCTGTTTTTTATCTTTATAGTTGTTATTAGTTTTGGACTGTGGACAATAGTTTGATAGTACTTCAAGGGGAACCAATATTCCAGGGTCAGCTACTAATGAAAGTAGACATTAGAAATTGTAATAAATAGTAAAGATATTCATCACCAACGTTATTATGATAACTTAAACATTTTAGTCTTAGTACTGCTCATACAGTATTACTAGTAAATGTTTGTGATGTATCACAATATAAACTGAACATATTAAGATCAAATGCTTTGTTAGCCATGATTATTAAGGAAAAATATTTAAAGTGTGAATCATTCCCCTCCCCCACAACCATAATACACATGCATGTTTTTGGCGTAGTTATCACTGTACAGAATTTTGACTTTCAGTGATAATGCGACTAATATCGTTCCCAACTCACGAGTTTCTTGCCATGTTAGTACCACTGAAAAAAGACAAATTGTGAAAAGGGAGGTGTTGACATAATGTTCATGTTAAATTTCATTTGAATTGGCCACTTGGTGTCTACAATATTGATGGCCATACTTGAATCAGGGGATGGCAGACACATGTAGCTTGCTTGTAGTATTCCAGAAAGAGACCTTTGTAGTTGAGTCAGTTTATGAAATTGTGTTCAATACAGTAGAGCCCTCCACATAACCACTTTTTTATGAGACAGGCCTGTTCTCTTTATCAATTCTATATTTTATAGTATTCTTTAAATATATCTCTTTTAATATGATGGAAGTCATTATTATTGTAAGTCATTATTACTTATACACTATATTATTATTTATTATATTACTATGAGTATAAAATTTGCCACCAGGTGTATCCACCTTTTTAGTGATTAAATATTCTTTTAGTCCAACATGTTTAAATATAAAAGAAGTCCTTACAAACTGACAGAACATATTCTGAAATATTTCAGTCATTTAAATTAAATATAATTGTAAATCCTTACTACATATTAATTAATAATATACTGAAATCAGTGATGAACAGAGATAGAACCTTTTTATGCTATCTTACCTATGTAAGGTTGTGACATATGTGATAATATGTCATAATCGTCTTTAAAATGTCTATCTGATAGCATCATGAGGCATCCCTGTATAGGTGGGATGGTCGATTTTGGCTGGTGGATCTCTGATGTGTAGTGGGGTGATGCAAGTCAGCGAACCTAAGATTGGTGAGCATGTGCAGCGACACTATGTTGCCTCAATAAGAAGGTAGACGTTGAGCTCATAGGATTGCTGTTATTAGTAGATACTGTGTGCTTTTCCCACGTGCCAGCCTACAAATGTTCTCTCTGCAGACGAAGCAAGTTCATAGCATAGACTTGCTCTCATGCGCTGACAGTGAAGGACACCGGCCAAAAAGTATTGGCAGGCTTATAGTGGGTTATGTTAGTGGAAGCATTGAGGGTGGCTGCTTAAGTCTGAAACAAGTTCAGATGTGAGATTATTTAATCATTACAAATTTTGATAAAATTGCTGGAAATTTTGTATTTATATTAACATGGATTTTACTTTATGAATAATATATTTCAGCTTTTACTTTATCTGCTTCATTCACCCACCGTCATTATTATTAAAACATTCTCTATTTTATATATCTCTTTCTCCCATTCCCCTCTTCTCTGAAACTCATATTTTCCATTGTCTATAAAATAATAACGTTCAGCTAAGTAGGGTTACCCAAAGGAGGCTCATCGAATGCCTGTGTGCTTCTCAATTAATTTTATAATTTAATCTATTAACCTGACTGTCAGAGGAAGGAAGGACTTGTGTCATGCAATATGATGTTAAAAATTTATGTATATATTAATGCTATTATAAATTTATATTAGTAATTAGGTAAAGCTATCCTTGTAACAGGCCATGAAGGCCCATAAGATTGTGAGAGATAGAGGTTCCCACATTTTCTCTAGACATTCGGCTCACAGATGACAGTAAGGTTGTCAGCCTTACACACTAGCTGCCTTTATCCCCCAGGAAGATTCCTGGTACTCATTTCTGAGGCTGAATCAGCCCCAGGGCCATATTGCTGCTGGAAGGACTAGGTTACTTGAAAAAATCCACCTCATTGGGACTCAAACCCGCAACCTTCCAGCTTATAGCATAGTGCCTCAACCAACTATGCTACCATGTGCCCTCCCTCCATGAAACTTAAAACATATATTTTTAACTGGCAGTAACAAATTTTGGAGAGGCATTGCAAATAGTGTATGTTGAAATTATATTCCTTATGGATACCAAGAAGAAAATGTTTTTCACAGACCTTCCAAACATATATAATAACTGTTAAAGCGAGATGCAAATCAATTGTGTCAGTATCTAAAGCATATAAATCTATCAGTTCCTGTGGGAAGAATTCAGAAGATTATTTATGATGAATGCTTGGTAATATATTGTTAAAACTTTTTCTGGTTTACAGCTGGTTTTGTGGGAATGTTTGTGCACCGCTTGGCAAGTCAGATATTGCAGTTACGATCTTTGGTATTAACAATTCTTGGACTGGGGGAACCACCTTCAGCTGGCCAGAGAGCAGGTCTTGTTAGGGATGAATTTGGGCTACACAAGATGATAGTTGTCGCTTCATCTGCTGGAAAGGTAAATTAAGCATTTTCATTCATATGTGGGACATTTTGTTGTGTTTATAGAACCAATGAACATGAAGAAAGAATCAGACACATGTTTATATGAAGATAATGGGTAGTACCCAATATAATCATATTGAAGTGCTATCTTTTATTGCATCTAATGTAAGTTTATAGTTTCTTTGGAAATGTAAGTAATTTTGTCTCTGTTCCAGGTCTTTGGAATAGACAACTTGAGTGGGGAGATTATTTGGCAGCAGCGTCTGGAGAATGTTAAACCGTATGTGGATCAAGCCACAGGCAAGAATCATGCACCATTCTTTGTGCAGAGAACTACTCGTCACTTCCCAAGCCCAGCACAATGTGCTTTGCTACTTAGGCATAAGGTACAGTGTAAAGTTCAGAATGATTTCTAGAATTGTACCAATGTCACTTAAAGAATGATTTCATGGTTCCATATTTCTGTTATTAATGGCATTAGAGCTTGTTTCTAGACTTTTTCTCTAGTATCACATCATATGCTTCTAACATCTGCAGCTCCCAGTTGATAACTAAGCTATCTTAAATTATTCTTCTGCCATTCAGCAGAAGAAGCTTTGAAGCTTTGGTCTCATGAAGCTTTGAAACTTATTAACCCCTTGAAGATCTTTTTAAATGACACCCTGCCTGTCCTTGCAGCTGTATTTAGTTGACAGCACATCTATGCTGTTGCAGTATTATCTTTGGTATATATATATCCATGAGCTCATAGACACTGTTCGGATCAGTTAATGGAGTTTGCCAGGAGATCTTAACAGAAAATTTAAACATGTACCACAAAGTTTTTCCCCAACTCTTGACAAATTAACAAAAGCAGTGGCACATAAACATGTGTCTTGAGGTATGAGAGAAGGCTAACTGGACCTAAATTTTACAAGTATCTCTAGGATCATAACAGGTGATGAAAGTTGGGTTTATGGATTTGATCCAGAAACAAAGCAGCAGTTGTCACAGTGGAAGAGCCCACAATCACCAAGAGCAAAAAAAGGTGCAGCAGGTTAAAAGTTCAAGAAAGAGTATGCTTATTGTATTTTTTCAATGCAAAGGGGATTGTTCACTGTGAATTTATTCCTCCTAACACTACAGTCAAATTTGACTTTTACTGTGATGTTTTGAGACGCTTGAGAGAAAATGTGCAATGAAACAGACCAGAACTTTGGTGCAACCATAACTCGCTCCATCACAACAATGCACCTGCCCACACATCCCTGAAAACCACAGATTTTGTGGCTAACAGTAACATGGGTATTGTTCCTAGTCCTCCCTACTTGGTGGACTTAGCCCCCTGTGATTTTGCTTTGTCTCCCAAATTGAAAATCAAACTGAAGGAGTGACGTTTTGGAACAGTGTCTGACATCCAAAGGGAATCGCAAGTGGTACTTGAGAGCATTAAGGAAAATGACTTCCACAGTGCTTTTGAAGCATGGTATGCTCTTTGTATGGATGTACAGATATGTGCCATAGTAGTGCTTGAACAGTTGGGTCAAATTTATTTGTGTTTGATATTCAAGAGTGTATGTTTCATAGGTCAGTGTCTGGTGAATATGAACATTCAAGTTCAAAAAATGTCGCCCCCTCTGATTGCCCCAAAACACAAAATGGCTCCAAAAATTTGGATTAAATTTCAGTAATGTGGTCAAGATCAGTTGTGCACTAATTTTTGTGCTTTGTACAGAGAATGCATAAAATTTCTGCTTAATCTCTTTCGTCCAGTTATTGTCCTCATCACCTTGTTCTTGAACTGCCTCCTTGCTGAATTATTTTATAATGTCTTTCAGGTGACAGATGAAGGTGTGCTCTTCGTGTTCAATCCCATTACAGGTCAGCCCCTTGCTGAGTCTGATGGACTGATAAGTCTTGGCTATAAGGTTAAACAGTCATTCCTGTTGCATGAGGGCAACAAAGAGTCCTTACGTGGCATCTTATTGCTGGATAATGAGGATAATTTGCATGTGTACCCAGAGAGTGCTCAGTCTGTGGCAGTTGCCATGGCAGCTACTATTTTCATTTTCACAGCTGATCCAAACAGCGGTTTATTGGTGGGCTACTCCCTTGCTTTGAGCACCAAACAGGTTAGTATCACTGGTTAATATATAACTGTCATTTTCATAAATGACATAACATGGAACCATAATGAAGAGGTTATGGTCTTTTCAGCTGCAGGTTTCTTCTCCCAAATCACATTGTGAATTCTATCAAATTTGTTAAGGGGGGTTATAAACTACTAAAATAGTTTAATTATTTTCATATTTGGCCCATCATATTAGTGTACTATAACTTGTACTAATTACTCCAACAGATGGTCAGTTAATAGATCATGTAAGCTTAGCAGTGCTAATATAGAAACCCCACTATTAGACATACCCTTTGCCAGTGCAGTCCAATTTACATTCTCATAACATGCCATTATTTTTCTAAATCAGTTTTACAACCTCCCCTTTTACTCATTCTCCAGTCTTCCTTGGCTTTATGTGCAGAACAATGGGAATAATATATTACTCTTAACTTTTAGTGACTCATTGTTTGATAACCAATGCATGAAGAAGGTCCATAAAAGTAAATCCTGCTAATATCAATGTAGTACAGGGTGCGGCAGCATAATTTGCTGATTTGAAGGGTCAATAAAACAAAAGATGCTATAGGTATTGTAATTATTTTTTCTCCATGTTCTACAACATTGGAAATTTACGTTTACTCTGTTTTAAAAATTGTATCCGGCAAGTGGCACCCCCCCCCCATTGGCAATACACTGATTTGCCTGAATTCTGAAGTGTCGGTTGACTCTTTCCAGCATATCGATGGGTATGTTGGCTATGGCTTGGCGAATATTCTCCTTCAGTTGAGCAAGGGTCCTTGGACGATCGGTGTACACGAGGGATTTCAGATACCCCCATAAGAAATAGTCAGAAGGGGCTATATCGGGTGAGCGCGCTGGCTACTGAAGATTGCCCCTCAAAGAAATCAGGCGCTCAGGGAAGTGTTCCCCCAAAACGCATTGCAGTTCGCGCCGTGTGTGCTGTGGCTCCATCCTGCTGAAACCACACATCCCCAACATCCATTTCGTCAAGACTTGGCAAAAAAAATTCTTCGATCATTTTCACATAGCGAACAGAATTCACTGTAACTGCAACCTCATTCTCTTCAAAAAAGTAGGGACCAATAATCCCTACTCTCGACAGTGCACACCAAACAGTTACACGTTCACTATGAATGGACCTCTCATGAGGTTCTTGGGTATTGTTATCACTCCAGTAGCGCATGTTTTGCTTATTCACACACCCAGAAAGATGGAAATGAGCCTCATCACTAAAGAACACAAGCGAATCATCAGGAAAAGTTTCAAGGAACGCTTCACATGTATGTTGCCGAGCAGCAAAATCATGTTCAGTGAGTTCTTGCACCACAGCCAACTTGTTAGGATGAAAGTGGAGGTCATCATGAAGAATTCGCCTCACAGAACAATCAGACATTCCAAGGGCAGCTGCATGCTTGTGTGCCGAGCGCCGAGGAGATTGCAAAAACGACTGCCTTACCGCCTCGATGTTTTGGGGTGATCTGACGGAACGTTCCCCTGATCTTCTCTTTTCCACACTGCCAGTTCTCCTGAGTGTGTTTGCCCACGTAACAATCGACTGCTAACCAGGAACACGAGCTCAGGCGGAAATACTGAAGTGCGCGCAGAATGCTTGCTGTGTGGCGACAATCGAGCGACCGTTAGAAAAGTAAGCCTCTACGGCAAACGCACGCTGTTCCTTCGTCCAACACATTCTTGGTACTAAAGTGGAAGGAAGAACAAACTTCTCGAACCACCCGTTCAAATGAGACCATCCGCACCCTCTAACGGCCAAACCTCACTTCCTAGTGCCAAATTCAAATCAGCAAATTGTGCTGCCACACCCTGTACATAGTTCCCATAAGTACCTTTATCCTGCTTTATTTTTTTAGGAGACAAGAATTTAGTAAAATTCAAATTTATATTTCAGAACTTGATTGCAACTCGTGTATGGGAAATAAAACTCACTCATGGTTCCCAGCGCATCACAGCTGTCATAAGCAAAAGTTCCATTGAGAAGGTCCACTCGCAGGGAAGAGTACTAGGTGACCGCAGTGTTCTGTACAAATACATCAACCCAAACCTTGTAGCAGTCCTTACTCAAGGATTTGATCCAGTCCACAAGCGTAAGTGGGTGTCTGAATTGTCATGGTTATGTTTATTGTGCAGGAAGAAAATCACATGTGCCACCCTTCCAGAACAGCCCACCCACTGCTGTAATCACTTCTTCAATCTCAAAATGTCCTTTGATAGATATCCTTTATAGTTTCAAGTGGTAGACACCTTTATTGCTATTTATTAACAAAGTCAGTGGTGCAGTATGTGGAAATGAGACTATAGCATGTACTTAATTAGCAGATATTCATGAATTTTTGGTGCAGCTACCCAGAAATGGAAAAATCATATAGTTAGCTGAAGACTTTTGCCAACATTTCAGGAGGTTGCATACAACTGTGTCTGTTTAGGTTCTTGCTTAGTGGCTGTTTTCTTGCAGGTTTACAGTGATGGTATTATTAACTGATGAGCCTGACATTAACTTTTTCATATAGTTTGATGCTTTGGACTATGTGACAGCACTCTGCCTTATACTGCTGTCACAAATACAGGCACAAAATCCTCCTTTACAAGGTTTGAACGGCTTCCTACTCCATGTTACAAAGCATGGAAGTAAAATCTGGAAGTGTAATGTTTATGAAATAAGTTAGCTCACTGACAAGTCTGTACATATTAATGTAATGGTTTACAAACTTTCAGATTTATATCTTCTTTCTGATAAATGTAATAGATTTGCCTTGAAACCTTAAAATGTCACTGTACAAGTTCTGAGGAATTTAAATATCTCTGTATATAATTTACTACGTGGGGCAATCCAAAAGTTTCCAAAATTTGAATTTTGAGTGCGAATGGTTATGAGTACATCAAAATACCGCTAGGTGTCTCCTCACACATACTTCTTGAATCAGTGTGGCAAGCAGCATCGAGTTGAGTGGTTGAGTTTATTGTTGGTGAACATATTTCCATTGTTGTGTTTCCGTGAGTTTGCGGTTTTGCGATGGCTGACCTGAGAGAGCAGCGTGTCTGTATAAAGTTTTGTTTCAAACTTGGGGAAAACCGCTGCAGAAACGCACCAAATGTTGAAGCAAGCTTTTGGTGACAGTTTAGGCCAGACACAAACTTACAACTGGTATAAGCATTTTAAAAATGGCCGAACATTGACTGATGATGACGATCATTCGGGACGACCGTCAACAGGCAAAAGGCCAGAAAATGTCACAAAAGCTAGGGATCTGATTCTGCAAGATCGTAGACTGACCATCTAAGACCTCTGTAACACCTTGGGACTAAGTTATAGTACATGTCAACGAATTTTGTCAGAGGAACTGAACATGAGGAGGATTGCGGCGAAGTTTATGCCACGTCTGCTGCAAAATGAACAGAAGCAGCGTTGCTTGGAAGTCTGCAGGGAACTTCAGCAACAGCTTCAAGAGGATCCAAACTTTCTTTCGAAGGTTGTCACTGGTGACGAAAGTTGGGTTTATGGCTACGACCCTGAAAGCAAGCAGCAATCGTCGCAATGGAAGAGCCCTTCTTCACCTCGGCCAAAAAAAGCTCGACAAGTCAAGAGCAACATTAAGTCCATGTTGATCTGTTTTTTTGATACTGACGGGACTGTTCATAAGGAGTTCATCCCTCCTGGTCAGACAGTCAATAAAGAGTTCTATCGCGATGTTCTAAGGCATTTGAGTGAGAACATGAGGAGAAAACGTCCAGAGAAGTGGCACACGAACGACTGGGTACTCCACCATGACAACGCACGACCGCATACGGCTTACATTGTGCAGGAATTTTTGGCTATAAACAAGATGGCAGTTGTTCCCCACCCACCGTACTCACCAGACTTAGCTCCATGCGACTTCTTTCTCTTCTCCAAGATGAACATCAAGTTGAGGGGGCGAAGATTTGATACAGTTGAGGAAATTCAAGCGGAAACGCAGACGGTACCGTCTGCGTCTGCGTACCCTGACAAAGAAAGACTTCCAGGATGCATTTGAAAAGTGGCAGAAACGCTGGGATCAGTGTATGCGCTCCCAAGGGGACTACTTTGGAGGGGATGGTGCAGAATAAGATCTAGGTAAGATGTAATAGTTTTTATTAATATATTTTGGGAACTTTTGGATTGCAACACATATATACATTTGTATGTGATATTCTGAATCTTGGAGAGCAATATTATTAGTGGATAAGTATAAGCGAACGAGTTGTGTAGTTTTGCTGTTACATGTATTGGTTTGAGTCCATATCAGTGTCTTTTCCTAAGTATATTGCTTAATATCACCATGTAAGATTCTGGAGCACTTTACTTTCTTCTGAGATGATGGTGGCAAGATGGAGCAATATTGAAATGATACAGAAGTTATAAAGACATAAGTGATCATTTTTAGGAAAGAAAAGAAAACAGAGAAAAGAAGCACGCTTTTCTGCATCTGATAAACAATCCATAACTTGTATCACAGAATACTTATGAACAACGTTTTTCCTCAGATTGCAGTACAGATTTTTCTGCATGCACATGCTAGTATGTATTTATTTTTCAAATTTAAAACGTGCATGTTTATTATGGATACTATGCATGGTAAGGTAAAGTTATTCCTGTGATTAACTAATTAAGCACTACACCCTGAATACGTATGAGGGATTGGATGTAAAGATCCACGTCTTCTTGACCCTGACACTAGTTGGAGGTGAGGGGTCAGCTTCACGTCCTGGCTGCTTTATCCCTGGGGAAAGACACCCTGGTACCCATTCGATAGGCTGTGTGGGCCCCAGAGCTAGTTTGGATGCTGCAGTGAAGAGAAAATTCTGACTTGAACTTTGAACACTTGGTTGTTCAGCCCATAGCCAGTTTCCATACCGACTGCGCTGTCCTGGATACTATGCATACAAATATAATAAACACTGTATGTTAGATTTTCTCGATCTTTATTCTGTCCTTTCAGTAATGTTTCTTTCCTTAATCATATATCATGACAGTGGAATGTTTATATCCCATGATGCATATGTTCCTTTAATGCAACTTCTTTTGTTTCAGAGTTTCTGAACATCTACTTAATAGATGTGGTATCTGGCTCAGTGATATTTTCAATTTCCCACAAGCGAGCTCGAGAACCAGTGCACATTGTTCATTCTGAGAACTGGCTTCTGTACAGTTACTTCAGTGACAAATCACGACGAACAGAAATTGTGACTCTCGAGTTGTATGAGGGCAAAGTGCAGAGTAATACCACAGGTAAATATCAAGCAGTATGTTACAGCTTTCAGTACTTGGGTTTGTAAGATTTCTTGCCATGTGCACTGAATGCATGAAAAATGGAGTGATCATGTTTCATCCCTTGCAATGATTTAATGAATTTTCATAAAGTTTTATAGTGGAAAAATCTGCCAGAAGTGATCAATCAGATTGAGTTTCTCCTGTATTTTACATGAAAGTCAAATCAAACTTTTTTAACTTTCTGATACAATAAAGAAGATATGTGTTGTGACGTATGGATATTGTGACATGTCTAACCGTTGCTGGCCAACGGGAGGTGGAATGAGTTACCACGAAGGCAGACCCTTGATAAATGGTTGGTTGCCAAGTTATGCAACAGTAAGGAAAGCAGTGTTTGTCCATGCAGAGCTGAAGCGCGCTGGTTGCTACGCAGCATTGCCCAGCAACGCCTTTGTAAATATGGCGTCACGCAACAGGGGAGCCCATGCAGTGATTGTTGCTAGGCAATCTGTAAACACGATGTTACACAACAGTGAAAACTATCATATAACTGTTTTCTGTGTTGTCATTGCGGAAGCTACATAACACGAGTATTCGTCAGTGAGTAGTAGTGAGTATTGAGTTACGAGTTGAGTTGTATCGAGTGAATGGCAGTGACTCCAGCAGGAGAAGTAATTTTGATACTGCAGATGGCAGTTATTGAGAATTGTAAACTGTGTAAGTGTAAGAGCGAATGTGCAGTAAATTCACTATATCCAATATGGCGTGAAGTTATTTGTCACGTGCATACCCAACACATGACAATATTATTAAGAGATACAGCTTTTATTTTACATTTTATGTGTGTGTGTGCATGCATACACACAGTATACATCTCTGCAGCAGTGAGTTACTGTTTGCAGTAGATGAATAATTAGGTCAATGAATTATAGAGAATGCATTTGAAGAATATATTCTCCACTCTTAGTTATAATACTGTCACGTGTATTAGTGACTATAGATGAGGTTTTGGTTTGGATGATTGGATTTATTGCACCTTATACATTCACGCAGTTCGGGACTACAGGCAGTACAATGCTATTGCTATTGTACACACTTTCCAATTCACCATTGCACTCATTAAGATTTTCTGTCTTTACTAGTCATATCCTGGCAATTGATTTATCACATTCTTCTTGGCACCGTCTAATTCCTTTCTTGCCATTTCTTCTCAGTCACCTTCAACTGCCATCTCCAGAACATGACCCAATTCTGATCCGACTTCTGTTCTGTATTCCCCCAAGTGACCTTATGACTGTGCTCTTTAATAACCCCTCAGCACAGACCTCACAGAAAACACCNGCAGTTCAGGACTACAGGCAGTACAATGCTATCGCTATTCTACACACTTTCCAATTCACCATTGCACTCATTAGGATTCTGTCTTTACTAGTCATATCCTGGCAATTGATTTATCACAGTTTCACAGTCACTTCAAATCACACACAAAGTCTTCTTGGCACCGTCTAATTCCTTTCTTGCCATTTCTTCTCAATCGCCTTCAACTGCCATCTCCAGAACATGACCCAATTCTGATCCGACTTCTGTTCTGTATTCCCCCAAGTGACCTTATGACTGTGCTCTTTAATAACCCCTCAGCACAGACCTCACAGAAAACACCATCTTCTGTTGTTAAGGATGTATGTTTACTGATCCGTTACCCAGCAAGGAATGTCCTGTTGTTGTGTGCATGTGTTGCAGGAATGTGTTTACAGAGTCCTTGCGTCACAATGAGTATACATGTCACAGTATTCATCAGTCATATGAATTAAATGACGTGATAACACCTTGACTTCTTCTTCTCCCATCTTTTGCAGTATACTAATCAGAGGTGATTGGCAGAGGAATAATATGCCTTGGTTCAAGTCCCAGCCGAGGACCTAATTTGGGTATTTTGTGCTATGCTGGAATGGGACATGATTGTTTCTTCCCATTTTAATCCTGATTGTCATTCACAACCATCCTGTCACATCTCATTTCATGTTGCTATAGCATGTTAAAGTATTGTGATCTTTCTTGTTGTCTTGTGAATTCATCCACCAAAAAAACTGGTGGAATAAGAACCAAAGAAGTCTTTGTTTTGTAATATCAATCTGCAACAGTGAAGTGATCTGTCACATTTTGACTTTTGAACTATTATTTGAGAATGAAGAAAGTCGTCTTCTGGGTTTAGGCACCGTGTATTCTNTGAGAACTTTGCCTGCTATTTTCTTGTTGTTTAATGAAGTTCTGGATGGCATCTTGTGTCACTGCAGAGAAGTTTCATTGTGGATATGATCTTTATTTCTGTGTCTTTAGTTTATCTGCATTTCTGGTAATATAACCTGAAATTTCAGCACTTTAGTACTAGACACATCCACATGAAATCCTCTAAAATTATTTACATTATAGAAAAAAGAAAAAGTAAAGGTATCCCTGTAGCAGGCCATGAAGGCCCATAGAGTTTTGAGATGTTGAGGTTCCCACATTTTCTAGACAGTCAGCTCATAGATGGTGGTAAGGTTGTCAGCCTTACTAAAAAAAAGTAAAAAGTAAAGCTATCCCTGTACCAGGCTGTGAAGGTCCATAGGGTTGTGAGAACGTTGAGGGTCCCACATTATCTAGACAATCAGCTCAAAGATGGCGGTAAGGTTGTCCACCTTACACGCCGGATGTGCTTTACTCCCCAGGAAAATTATTTTATTAATTCCTGGTACTCATTTCTGTTAGAGGCTTACTGAACCCCAGGAGCATAGTGCAGCTGGAAGGATTAGGTCAATTGAAAAGAATACAATGACCTCATCGCGACTTGAACCTGCGACCTTCCGGCTTGTAGCATAGTGCCTTAACCACTACGCTACCGCATGCCCCGGTTGTCCGCCTTACTATCATCTTTAATATTACCCTCCCCCCCCCACTTCTCTCTGTAATATATATAGACTTGACAGTATACTTTAGAATATACTGTAAGTCCCCACCAAAATCATGTACTCATTCCCTGTTGAGCTAATGTCCATTCATCACAGCCTCCTTAAATTTAATGACTCTAACAATTCTAGATCAGTTATATGTTGTCACATATAGGGTGGCATGTGTGATGAAATGACAGGTTCTGTTTCGGATGATTAGATTTATTAGCACTTTGGTTACACTCTCTGTCACATTTACTACAGGCAGTACAGTGCCATTGCTCATTTACACACTTTCCAGTTCACCATTGCACACACACTAGGATTCCCAGTCTTCACTAGTCATCTCCTGCCAATGGATCTCAACACAGAAACTATAACAGTCTCACTGGATCACACACTCCAGATATTATGCATAAATAAAGTCCTCAAATCATAAGTTAAATCCTCACAAGTCGACGAACTTTCCATGGCCGTCTCCTACTGAGAACTCCGAACTCAGAACTCTCTCACTCACTGTCACTGTCACATCTAGTTCCAATTCGGTCTCTTGCATGCTTCTGCCACTACTATTTCTCTTTCTGCGACAAACTCAGAACTCAGGACTCCGTCACTCACTCACTGCTAGTTCCAGTTCGCTCTTATTTGTGTGCTTCCGCCTCTGCTATCTCTCGTTTGTAACTCATTAACTTGTAACTGTTCCTCATCACTGTTCTCATAACTCTGTTACTCTGTTTCTAGTTACAGTTCTCTCTTATATACCTGCAGCATGCACCCCATGGAAACCACAGCCTCTATTCTTGTAGAGGTATATTTATCTAGTCCTCGCATAGCAAAGTCGCGATGCTGACCTCATAGAAAACAGTCTCTATATTGTTGAGGTTGTTTACGGAACCATTGCTTGGCAACACGTTCAAATACGTAACAATTTCATGAAGTTATGTGTCACAAATATTCTCCATTTCCCTAGTTACTTGATCTCACTTAGGTCCAGATAAATTGCTGTATGTACACTGTTTTCAAGCTTATGCAGTTTATATTCTTCCTCTGAAGTAAGAGCCCACATCTTGTAAACACATAAAAGAGCTCGGGAAATGTTTGTTTTATATTACTGTAGATATGTAAAGTTCAGATATTACTGTCGCTAATTTGCCTAAGTATTATTTTTTTTTCTTTCCCTCACAAGCTATGGTTTTTAGATCTAATTATTCACTCTTACACATTTTCAGCCTTTTCCTCAGTAGCAGCACCTTTGCAGCCAATTGTTGATCGACAGGCATACATTCTTCCAGGCATGATTGAATCAATGAAAGAAACTATTACAGAGAAGGGTATCACTAGCAAACATATACTGGGTAAGTGAATGGTACATGCTGACCTGCAATACTAGCAATTCTGTAAGTTTTATATGACAACTGCATGACATCTAAGACAATTCTAAAAGTTTATTTGTTAGTTTTTTATTGATTATGTATTCTGAGTTGTATTTTCTAAGAACAAAGTTACTATTACCTGGCATTACAGAAACTTATACTACCACTTTTAGGTATAATGAAAGGATATATTTATATTGAGGGTAACATGTTATCCAGATTTTCATGTTCATGAGTCATGATTGGTTGGAATAGATCAACTTATTATTACTACACGCTTATACTAACAAGAAACTTTCGAAGAAGTGTTTATATAGAACAAGTCCAAGAAATGTTTATAGAACAAGGAGTCATCATCATTATCATCATATCATACTTGAAGAGACTTCATTCATTTATTTCTTGGTTTATTCAGTCCATTCAGACACAAGTATAAATACTGATCCAGGGATCTTTTAACACCTGTAATTAGCACTTCAGTGATCAAAGCATAATTACAGAGAAATCCCCTGTTATGTTTTTTTTTGGGGGGGGGGGGGGATGTGAATTTGAACATTAGGCTGAGGAAAATGTTAAACTGAGGACATTTTACAGTGATATTTCTGACCTGGGATTACTGAAACTGAATGTTAACACTTTGCAGACAGGCAATTTAAATATTTAAATCACCCTGGGGACCGGCATTTTTAAGCCTACTACCCTAACTTGTGCACTGTTCACTTTAAAAATTAATATAAAATCTCATAATTAATTTTATGAGCTAAAATTTTTGGAGAACACTTACCAATGCTCCTAGAAGTGCTTGAGAGTGTGATATTTCTGGAAACATTGCCTCTTTTGAAGTGGCATTACACATAACTTGCAAATGTAGACAGTCATACTCCTTTTTTTGTGAATGGTGCAAACTCGGCATTGCCTAGAAGGATGCTTCCACTTGGAATGTTCACTCTTCACAATTTTCACGATGGTATGTTTCCGCATATCACTCGAGAGTCACCCAGGGGGTCCACATGAGGCCTGTGTGGGGTGGGAGTTGATGGGCCCGGTCGCACTAAGTCTGTGTCTGACTCTGGTTCTGCTGCCACCATCTGGTCTGTAGCCCAGGCCTTTGCCACATTCATCAGAAGTGTTTTGTATTTCAATTTTGAATCAGGGTTTAGATTTTCGTAAACCAAAAATGAATTGAAAATGGTACAATTTATAAGCCACAAGGCAACTTTCTTTGTCCACTTTATAGTTTCCTAGGAAGAGAATAATAGGCCAAGTATTGATTGGCTCTATCAACTCCCTTCATGAACATATTACACTCAGAAATACAAATAGGCTTCTTTACTTGTTCATGTTTCCTTTGAACATCAACCATGCTTGAATTGTGAATTGTCGAAATCATATTCACAACAAGAGTATCCCTCCAGGACTGAAGAAGAATAACCCCCTTCCTCCTGAATGTGTGGTTTCACCATGTTTCAGGGATGTAGATTCCTCTTTCAGATCTGGAGGAAGGCCTCTGCTCACCCTAATTGTTCCGCAAACACGTACTTTTCTCAAGAGAAGGTATTCTGCAGTTACCACACTGTTATAATAACTGTCTTGATAGACATGGTAATTTTGATCAAGATAGGGTTCCAAAATGGAAACAATAGTTTCTCGCAATTTTTTGCCATCACCAGAATAAATTTCTAAATTTCCAATATAGCCTGAAGTGCTTTCAGTAACTACACAAACAAGTAGGCCATACTTTCTTGTTCTCCAAGAGATCGCTTTCGTCCTTGATCCATATTGCACTACTAACTTACTGCCTGGTACATACAGCTTGAAGACGAACAAACGCATTTTCCTTTGGAGTGGGATAGGAAAATAGTGAGGTCATGTTACTGACTACTAAGCAAACATTCAGGAGGTCTATTATGCACCAGTTATGCATCTGCGTGGCACCAGAGCTAGGTATAGTGTGTTGCAACATAACGTGTCCTAAAATCATAATATTATGCGACCGGTCCTCCACGTTTAAAATCGAAAAGCATAGTATTATGCGACTGGTCCGCAAAGTGTTAAATGTGGATAGTACAGTGAATGGGGGGGTTCCACTGTATGTTACGAATTTCATGTAATAGCTTCAATAACATTGATAGGTTTTCCTGCATAGGTGTCAATATAACATTTGTACTGTAAAATAAAAATAAAACCTTTATCTGTTATTAGATCCTGACATCTTTTTACTGAAATTCTGTCTGAGAGCTACCCAAAAATTGTTTGGCCATCCAGGTGCAAAGACGGACAGTCCTTATATAAACTTATTTCACAGTAGCTATTCATGAATTATTGGCTGGATGCTGAAGGGAAATTGTAATGTTTCCGGTACAAATCTGTATGGCCCAAGCTGATTCAGGGAGTTTATCTCTCTCTAGCCTAAGTGAACAGTTCTGAGGCAGTTCTCAGCTGATTGAACATATGAAACCCATATACAGTTACCAGGCCACCTGGAAGAATATCACCTTAGCATCGGACTGGCCATGAAAATAATTTGAAATATCTAAGCCTTGCTTCGCAACTACAGAGACGTGGAATTCTTAAAGCTTCTTTTTGCCCATTATAACATCAGATCAAACAAAAAAAAATAAACTCCGTGGCTTGAGTCCACAAGTGAACTATACCGACCAAGCAACCACTGCTTGTTATTGAAGTTAGTGTCAACTTTAGTGGATAGAGGGTGTCGCATGGTCAGTGGAACGAATCCCCACAGCTGCTAATTTCGGTTTTATAGACCGGAGCCACTGTTACCTTGAAATAGCTCGTCAGTTATCCTCATGAGGCTGAGTGGACCCTGTTCCAGACCCACTACTTCTCAGAAAGTGTGGTAGCGCCAGGAATTGAACCTGGACCTCTGAATCTGTAGGCAGGAACTCTGACCACTAGACTACAGAGGCGGTCCTGTAACATCAGATCATTGAAATAAATTCTGAAAACATTAAGGCTGTCTGGCTGTAACAGCTCTCAAGCTCTTTGAACAATACTGGGGAGTGAGATGCAAACTTCAAACCTTCTGATCATTGTTTTTCTGTTTTACATTTTACATTGTTGTTATATGTATGCTCGTCAGGCTCAGCAGCAGTCAAAAGATAGGGAATGACATTAATTCTGTTCTGTTTTTCTTATGTCTCTTTCTGTTATTTCAGTTGCACTGGCAAATGGTGCTATATTGGAGATACCATGGGTGTTCCTAGACCCTCGTCGCCCAATCACAGTTACTTCTGAGATGCGAGAGGAAGGTGTGATTCCATACATGCCTGAGCTACCCATACCTTCTGAGGCTATTATCAATTACAACCAGACAGTCCAAAGGGTGAGAGGCATCCATACTACTCCCAGTGGATTGGAGTCTACTTGTCTTGTATTTGTGTATGGATTAGGTATGATAATTGTTGATTGGTTAAGAGGTAGAACATTATAAGTATTATGGTTGAATAACAGTGCTCATTCCAATGCAAGAAAGAAACAAGTTTATCCTCACATAGTGGCAAGCCTGGCCACAATATAATACCAAAAATGGAGCACTGTTTGTAGTAAAAATATTTTTGTACTGAAAGGATACACATTTCATTCTTTGCTCTGCAAAATATGAATTAAGTTTGGAAAATGAACTGTGTTTCATAGGGAAAAGATATATATTGGATGTCCATAAAATTCTTTTTGGGTTTCGAACAGATCTTTGTGCCAATAGTTGAGAGAGTTAAGAGGATAAAGTTGACTCAGCTGGGCTGGTTGTTCATGACTATGAATATATTAAATAAAACTAGGCTGAAAAACAATTTTAAGTTAAGCTAAATTTGATAGTTTCATGTATTCAACACAAGGCTACTGTTGCTTTGTCATTGCAGTGTTTTACACAAGGTTAGTCCACTATAATCCATTCCTTTTCTAATGAAGCTTGACCTTCACAAGGGAAGTATGACAGCGAGTCACAAAAGGATTTTGAGGGTAGCCTTCAGCCAAGACTCTCAGTTGTTGCTTTGTGATGGTACAGGAGGATTCTGTCCTGAGCAGCCCAGTGCAACACATTATTGTCACATTTTATCATTTAGCCAAAGAAAACAAGTGAACTGAATAATGCTAAAAAGGTGGTACATAAACAAGGCATGGGAATTATATATAGTGTATGACAGCAACGCAGAGGATGAGGATGAAGACGAAGAGCTCACTCAACCTACATCCAATCAGTAAGGTCACTTAACAACCCTTATCAGTTCAGTTCTGTGTTGAGTGACTTGATTAGAACTGAACTACAGCCAGACAACCCCACACTCCTGACCCTGTTAAATAGCATTCTTGTGACTGATTTTCACCCAAGCTTGATGAGAAAAAGAACAGGCTGTAGTAATTTCTAAGTCCATATCTGTCGATGCAAGTATGAAAATTTTGATAACTTTGCATTCTTGTTACAGATATGTTCTACACCAGAGTTGCTCCATCAAAGACATTTGATTTACTTAAAGAAGATTTTGATCACTTTTTGATAACTGCTGTACTTCTGGGCCTCACAGTGACATCCTACATTACTAAGAAATTGGCATCTAGAAAAGCACTAAAACAGGCATGGAAATGATTTACGTAAGCCTTAGGTTGTTAATACAAGGGATCCTACTTTGGGCACATGTGTGTGACTGAGTGACAAATTTTTGCACCCATTCATGAAACATTTGGAATTGAATGACATTTGTTTCAAATTGTAAATCTAACTGGGACTTCAACTCGTTTTTCTTAATTTAATACTTTTCTATGAAGTTCACAGCAACACAGTAATGCAGATGTGCATTCACATCATTTTATCAAGGGCTAGGTGTGATGAGATGTTATTATCTTTTTTTGTAATCAGACTCAAGAGCATTAAGATTGTGTACACAGCACTCTGGAAGCTTCTGCCACCTTTTAATATTTTGCTTTCAGTCAGAGATAATAGGGTTTGTCAAAAATGATACACAAGCTGTTCCATTAGCTGAGATGGCTTCTTGGAATAAGCACATAGAACAAATATTATTTATTTAACCTTTATAATACCAGATTCAAATCCTCCTAGTAGCACATATTCTAAATTAAATAACATTTCACTAAAACTATTCCCTTTACCAACAAAGTAAAATATCCCCAAATTTATGAGTGACAGAAATATAAAACAAAAATTAACTGAAATTGAACAAAACATGGATGATGGCACTGCAAGAATATGATTTATGTAATTTGTTACATACCAGAGACTTATGTACGAACCTGTTATCAGATAAAAAGAAATCAAGATAGGAGATGTCTGTCTTATTCACTTCTCTGTCCTGTTAATCCTATGGTTGCCCCACCACAACTTGGTCCTCACAGGTGCACTAAGTGTAACCATCTCTAAAGCATGCAGTAATGCACAGGCTGTCACATTTTCCCCTTTGGGCAAGGTGTATGCTTTTATGTGTTGTGATTAAAATCATATGCTGCAATTGCTTTGATCTGGATGGGCAGTGCTGCTTCCTACTGACTTCCAGGAAGTTTATCTTTTATCATACCATCACTACCCACTGAGTACGTTTGAAAGTACACACTTCATTGTAGTCATCAATAATTAAAGATATCATAGCATTTCCATGTGAGCCAGGATAGTGTAGTTGGTATAGCAACTGGCTACTGGATGGGTGACCGAGGGGTTGGAGTTCAAGTCCCAGAAGGGTCAAGAATTTTCTCTTCTCCAAGTCGTCCAGACTGGCTTGGGTCCACCCAACCTTCTATGCAATGGGTACCATTTCCCTGAGCGTAAAGCGGCCAGGGCGTGAAGGTGACCACTCACCTCCCGCTAATGCCGAGGTCAAGAAAATTTGGATCTATACATCCACTCCCCCATACGCCTTCTTAAGCACAGGAACAACTTTACCTTACCTTATAGCATTTCCATGCTCATTACAGAAATTTCAATCTTGCAATGGATGTTCGCACACTGATATTTATGGTTTATACTCGTATAGCAACACTAAGTAGCTCAGAATATGAAACACTGAATGATAGAATAACTGTTGAGAGGATGTGAAGGAAGCGCTCGTGGCCTGATTTTAGGTAATATTTGCCAGGAGGGCCCAAGGAAAACTACAAAATAACCCTGATCAAGATAGTCAGTCCCCTGTCAGGATTTGAACTGAACATGTGCCACATACAAGCCAGAAACAGTTTGAGCCAGCTTGCTGCATAGGGCACAAGAGTAATTGCCTCTCTTGTTGGACATTTTCCCACTTATACTGGCTGTTAAAAAAGGGTGGCAGGCTTTAAGCAGCTGTAGTACTCACTTAAATGAGCAAAAACATCAATGCCTGCTGAGATATGGGTATTTTTTCAAGAACTTCATGCATTGAAAAGAGAGGAAGAAGATCCTGGAACCAGTGTGTGAAGAATTTCAGCTGCTGAAGGTGTTGGTGTTCCCCTTGTCTTGAGAAGCCTTCCTGAACACTCACTTTATCATACCACATCCAGTGAGTGCTAGCCCCAGCTCTTCCTGACCATTGTGCATGGGTGGTGTTTTGCCAGTGGCTCCTCGCAAAATGCATTGTAATGACACAGTCTGTATCTAACATCCTGTTTTCTGATGATACGGGATTCACAAGGGACAGTATTGTGAACTTTCACAATACCCATGACTGGGTGGATGACAGTCCCCACACAATGGTGGTGATATCAACATCAATATTCCATCAATGTCTTCTTGGGCATTTTAGGTGATCAACTCTCAGGACCAGTTGTCTTACCTAACAGACTAACTTTGGTGAATGATTTACCAGCACTCTTGGAACATGGGCCGCTTCATCAACAACATGACATGGCTCATGCATGATGGGGCACCACTTGATTTTCTCTGCATTGCCAAGACAGCACCTAAACCAGACTTCTGGTGAAAAGTGGATAGGTCACAGAGGCCCAGTCAACTGGCCTCCGCCATCCTCTGATCTAATGCCTGTGGATTTTTGGCTGTTGGGACACCTAAATATTTTGATATATTCAGCGCCAGTCAATGACATTGAGGTATTAAAGCAATGGGAAGAGAATGCCTATCAGGAGATTTGAGTGAAACCAGGAATTTTCAACTGAATGCACATCTCTGTGTGATGAAGAGCTTTATGTTATGTTGGAATACATGGGAGGCACGTAAGAGTATTTACTGTAGAGATCACACATTCATTGTCTATATCTCGGTAGGTTTCCTAACATGTCGACTGGGACTTTGTTGCTCATTTAAGGGAGTACTGTACCCTCTTAAAGCCTGTAAACCCTTTCTAACAACTTGTGTTTGTTGTTTGTATAGTGATGGTGTCAGTAGCTCTGGGCATAAACCATTGAATTGAATGATGGTAAGCGAATAATTACTGGAAAGGATGTGGAAGGAAATGGTCATGGTCAAATTTGAAATACTGTCCTAGCATTTGCCTGGAGGGACTGAAAAACTGCAAACAGTCTCATGTAGAATAATTGGTGCTCCATGAAGATTTAAGTGAATCACCTCCTGAATACAAATCAGAAATGTTACTGCTAGATCCAACTTACTGTGTAGGGCACAACAGTAATATCCATATACAATACATGTACATGAAGGGGGAGTGGGTTTGATTTTACATGTGTGTGTTTCATTAGTTCCAGAAAAGAATCTCTACTTTGCCATCTGACATTTCAGTCCTAGATGCATAAATAGAGTATATTCTGTTCTCATCAGGAAAACTGTGTATATTGAAATGCAAGTTATCATTGATATTATTCATGTAGACATTTAATAACATTCATCCAAATATATATGATGCTTTGTATAGTGTGTGTTGCGGAGGGTATATAGAAATTTGAGTTGTTTGAGCAAGTGTATCTTTCCTGTGATTGACAATGGAATCAGTTTTCCCACAGAACGAGTGCTACAAGTGAAAGTATGGAATGTATAGTGTCAACTTAATTTTGTGTGCATCAAGAAGTGTTATTCATCAGAAGACATTATGTTTACTGAAGTACAGGTTGTGGTTCATGTCACTCTTCTAATGACAGTTTGGAACCTTGAGACATATGTATGACACTGTGTACATTGTATGTTGTAGTTGGTACAACAATGGGGAATGAATTTGATTTTATACATGTATTCCCTTCTCATCCATCTTAAATTCTGTTTTTTCTCACCAAACATTTCAGGGCTACATATGTTGGAAAGGAGTGTATCCCATGACAAGGCCCTCATTGTAAATATAGCAAACATAATAGAGTTTACAACAAAAAATTCAGCAGAATATGCATTAAAAATGGGATATGATAAAAAGTGCACAGGTCAATAAACACAAAATTCCTTGATTTAGAAATTAATAACAACCTGTACAGCAAAAATAATATTGATTAATTGGTGTGTAGCATATTATACAGTTTACATATTAGATATGAACAACTCAGACCGTGAAATCAATCTTTCTGGCCCACTTTCACCTATGATGATGAACATAATAATTTTCTAGGGTAATTCATGTAAGAGAACAGAAATAGCTGTTAGATTGATGGCTGGTGGGGAACCTATAAATTCATGCAGAGGTCTATTTTAGCAATTATTTCCTCCATGTAAATACACATTATAAGAAGTGAAGCTCATAATAAATAATAATAAAGACCACTTCAACAATCATTTAACTGTACACAGTATTAAGAAAATCATAAGTAATATCATCACAGGCCACTTGCCAACCTAATTTCAGAAAGATGAATACAATTCTGACATGGTAATTTCCAACAATCCACTTTGTGTTCTCAAAAGTCTTATGAATGAAACAACATAAGTTGAGTTTCTCAATCTCTCCGTGAGTTTCGTTGCCGTTTCCTCAATTTGTGCCACTCCACTCATGTTCTAGTGTAAGTGCCACCCCACAGGTTTGAGCATTCACAAATCTCTTATTATCCATTACAGAGAATTGCAAGACATATGACGTTAGAGTGACCTCAGGCCGGTCACAGTAGCCGAGTGGTCTAAGGCATGTACTGTCTTCGCTTGCTTGGAACCTGGGATGGTGGGTTCGAATCACACACAAGGCATGGATTTTTGGGCTGCACCATAGCTCAAGCAGTTAGTCGCTGGCTTCCCATCGCGGCGGCCCGGGTTCGATCCCGGGCCTGATCAAGTGGAATTTGTGGTGGACAAAGTGGCGATGGGGCAGTTTTTCTCCGAGCTCACATTTGTGGTTACGTGGTGATGCAATGTCTAAACAGCATTTCCTAGTTGCCCGGTTGTTAGGCCCTAGGGTACCAAAGGACAATACTTATAATCCACAGAAACGAAAATAAAATTTATATGCGATAGTCAAATCCATTCATATTATAAAATAACGACGTTGGCTGCCTCCGGCTTAGCAAAAGAAGATATGTTCCTCATTTTGCAATCCATCAACACATTGGCATTCGGCTGTGGACTGTTAGGCTTGCTTTAAGACTGGTGTGACCTACTCTCATACGGTTTATTAACACGAAGGCACGGCCGATCATTTTTATCTTTCGGAACCGGAACCACGGAGACGACCATACCTGTCCATTTGCTACCATAATTAGCAATCATTACGCTAGCCTATTAAACTAGATAGAACCAATCACAATACACTAAGAGCGATATATCGAATCCGGCCCCGTGAAACTCCCATGTTATTGGTTGGCAAGATTGCCGCCATGACGCCTCGGTGAAATTCTGCTGCCATCTATTTTCAGCTTACATGACTAAATTAAAAATGACTCCAAGGCCGAGAGCACAATCGGTAAGAAGGTATGCTACCTCATCAACTATTTTGAGTGCTCCCCCCTCGACCCCTCAAAATGCTTTTTTCGCTACTAGCAATAAATACTTTTAGATCTCTTGTACTGCAGTCTCTCTTTCCTTCTGGCGTTCGCACTAATAACCTATATGCATTCCTCGCATCCCCATTCATACCACATGCCCTGCCAAAGCATGTAGCACGAATAGGGAGGCGTGGAATGCATATAAGATATTAGTGGGAATGCCAGAAGGAAAGAGACTACTGGGAAGACGAGGGTGTAGGTGGGTGGACAATATTAAAATGTATCCTAGTGAGATAGGATGGTACAGATTGGATTGGACTGATCTGGCTCAAGATAGGGACCAGTGGAGGGCTCTTGTGAACATAGTAATGAACCTTTGGGTTCTACAAAAGACTGGAAAATTCTTGAGTGGCTGCACAATTGACAGCTTCTCGAGAAGGGCTCAGCTCCATAAGTAAGTTTAATGTCACTTCACCCATATCCTTTGGTTTGGATCTCAGGGAAGCTCTATTAAACTTTGTCCCCACCTTTTCCAAAAAAAAAAAGTAACAGCGGAATAAGAGGCTCTGCAGCTCTGGAGTACAAGAGATTAGGTTTCAAATTAATTATCTGGAGAAATTTAAGGTCTTTCATTCTGGTCCGTCACACTAACCAATTAACAATCTACCT